TTAACAGATCGAGAGTGTGTCCTCTGCTGTGGGTGGGGCCACTCACATGCTGAGTGAGACCAAAGGTTTCCAGCACAGAGCTCAGCTCTATTGCATATCTATCATTAGCATTATCTACATGTATATTGAAATCACCTACAATGACCAAACCATCAAAATCTGTGCACACAACTGAAAGCAACTCAGTGAAATGATCAGTGAAACTATGGCATGACTGTGGCGGCTTGTACACAACAATAATAAGAATGGAAGAAGATTTCTTTTGTTCTATTTTAAAAGAAACATACTCAAATGATGAAAATTTCCCAAGAGACACTCTATGGGAGACAATACGATCTTTAAAAACTGCTGCTATGCCCCCCCCCCTTTTATTTTCTCGTGTTTCATGTTCAAATTTGAAATTTGGTGGTGTTGTTTCTATTAAAACTGCATCTCCTGTATTATGGTCAAGCCATGTTTCAGTCATAAACATAAAATCAAGATCATACGAACAGATAAAATTATTAATTAAAAATGATTTGTTGCATAGTGATCTGACATTAAGTAGAGCAAGGTTAAAATTAATATCAGTGTCAATGGGTTTAGTTGATTGATTACAAAGAACTGGAATTAGATTTCCAGAGTTGGAACTGCTGTCCTTCTTTTAAATTTGTGTTTATTCAAGTTAAAACACATTTCTGAGCTGGTGCGAGAAACACACACAGTCTCTATTGGTTTAAAAAGTGAACTCTGTTGTACTTTGTTAAGTTCCAGATGCATAACTGAGTCAGCACAGTTCAGTGGCAGGACTGTCGTTACACTGCCAGACTGACAGGGGTCAGTGTTTGCACCACAGTACTCACCCGGTGCTGGTAAGGAGGAGGAGGAGGGGGGTGGTGGGGGCCGAGAAGCCTCGGATGTAAACAGTCACGCCCCCCTCGGGGAGCACTGAACAACATGGCGTAGGAAGTCCGTCAACAAACTGGTGCCGTATCTGTTCGGGTGCAGACCATCTGGACGATAGGCCACGTGACGCTTCCAGAACAGGCCAAAGTTGTTCACAAAAATAAAGTTAAAAGTGCTGCATGTAGACTGGAGCCACATGTTGAGCGCCACAACGCGACTGTACAAGCAGTCTCCCCGGTTTACAGTCGGGACTGGACCAGAGATAAAAACACACAACCCGAAGGACTGGAGGAGGCGGAATAGATCCATAAAATGCTTCTTTGTGACCTCGGACTGCTGCAGCTTCATGTCGTTGATCCCCACATGCACGATTACCTTTGAAATGGTATCAGGCAGGGACTGAAGCAGAGGAGGGAGACGGATGAGCAGATCTGGGACAGTGGCTCCGGTAATGCAGTGAGTGACCGCGTTAAAAAAGCGGACGTGCCTCACGATGGAATCTCCAACAATCAAAGTAGTCGGGGCGAAGAGTGGACGCGGCCGCGGAGAGGGCGCTCGGTGTCCATGGCCAGAACCAGCGGGCTCATCCAGGGATGGGTCCGAACCAGGGCGCTGCTGAACACATGGAGAGGAGTGGGGGTGTTGATTCCCAGCTCCGGGCAACCCACGCTGTGTGCTCGGGGACGCTGGAGCGGCGTGAGGAGCAGGCTCGGGTCGCTGCTGCTGACCCGGTGAAGGTAAGTGGTGGTGATGCATTGGGGTCAGAGAAGGGGAATGACCACTCTTTCGTCTGAGGACAGCTTCCTTTAAGAGTGTCTTTCTCGCAGTGGACCTGGATCCACGGACAGCAGTAGAGTTTGCTGCAGAGTCCAGGGGTTCTGCTGAGGGGGCTGGAATGTCAGCGGAGAGGGCTGCATAGCGGTTTGAAAGGCTCAGGACATGGGCCACGGCGCTGGATGGCTCCTCGCAGTCCGCAGGCTCTTTATTCCGAACCGGGCACTTAGGTGTAGAGCAAGAGGGCCCAGAGCTGACAGATCTCTCCCACACGACAGTGTCACAGTATGCAGCGCTCAGTGACATAAGCCGTGAGTGCTGCCCGCCAGCGACATCAAAAAGTTTGGACACGAGTGACTGTTTATCCTGCAGCTCTGCAGTGAGGCGAAGGACTTCTTTACGGAGGTCTGCAATAGTGGCACGGTCCCTCTCACGAAGCTCCAATGTGAGGCGACTAATGTCGTTCGTGGTCATTGCAGTGTCACTTTCCATGTCTGTGGTGCGCTCGTGGTAGCCTCCGAGCTAGCGCGTTTCGATTGGGTCTTTGTGTTAAAAGACGTGATGCTCTGGAACCATTAATAAAACACTAGAGTGTACAAAAGACACTAATACACCGTAAAAACGTGTTTAAAAGGCTTTAAAAGGCTTAAAAAAGGGTAAAACAGAGCAGAAACGTCAAAACGCGTGCTCACTCGCGTGCTATCAAGGTAGAAGCTACTGGCACCGCGGTAAATGCTAACATGCTAATAATGCTTATAAGTCTCCATTCCGCCGCTGTATGTCACTTACATTCTGTAACGTCTTGTTTATGCTGCCTCTACCATCGACAATAAAACATGTATTCTGTCTGAATTAAAGACACAATCCTAGACTGTCTTTTTATTCACTTTAGATTCTAACCCACAGCTAGTGTTAAAATCAAGCTTTTGCACTGCTAAACAAATGAAGGTTTGGAAAAACATGGATGCTGCAACTTTTCCGTCTGTGGGTTAAGGAACTCAGTAAAGGTCCTGAAGGACACATCTTGAATCGTAATGAGCCGTGTAAGTAACGATTGGTATGAACTTATCATTCTCAACAAAACAATGCGTCTGTGGCTGTGTTCTTTTCAGGTCAAACATTCACAGTGATTATTTAAAACTCCAACTCATACCTGACAATTAATTAAAGAAAAATGGGGATGTAATAACTGCGCGTTGTGACTCCATGGCTGGGTAAATAAATAATCCTTCGAGGTAAACGCGTCTGCTAGTGAAATGTTAGCGAGCCACTTTTCCTACGTCTTTTCGTAAAGTCCTTGGTGCGAGGCTCTTTATTAATCTCTTCACAAGGAACCCTAAAGTATCCATTAAAGGTTTCACGATTCGATCGGTTAGAAAACTTAAAACAACACAAGCAAAAGGCAGATTCAGACACGCTGCTCTAGTGAACAACTAGCTCGGCTGACCACCAGTCTGTGATACGCATATGTAATGTGGCGGACGTGACGTCAATTGCAAGCAAGCAATAGTGGAGACAAATTCTAGGGCTTCAAAGTTTTAAATCTTAGAGAATAGAATAATTACCCAAATACTTAATGTTTTTAGGTATTTTTTCCATTCTATGTTATATATTTTGGCATCATATTCACAACTCTTTTCTTTGATTTGGACAAACACAAACTCCAAATGTGTAATCCAAATAAACAACGTTAATACATAATAATACAGCATTGATCCTCAGAACTAAAAAAGAAAATGACCTCAGCAGTTTCATTATAACGTGTTTTTTGCAGACGTTTGTGCTGTTAAAGCTTACAAAAAGGATGAGGGGCAATGTTTTAGCATGATTAAAAGCTTAAAAAACACAAACTATTGTCAGTAATTAGTGCAGTTAGACAGATAAGCGGCCCCTGACCACACACTGTTTATGGCTTTCAACTCGTGATGACCTAAAATTACAGGCCGCTCTCCCCTGTGTCTGTCCTTAGGCCTCAGAAAGGACCAATATCTGCAGCTTGGGATCCACAATATTGTCCTATAACAGACACACACATAATGGTGGCTTGTCCTTTGTGCTTTTTTGATACATTCTCATTTCCTACTGACATTGCAATTGGAGTGCAGTGTTTCCCACAGGTTTGAAGGCAATGTGTGGTGGTCGTCGGCGGGGGGGGGGGGGGGGGGGGGGGGGGGTCGGCCGGCAAAAATTAACAATGACATCGTTAATTGGTCAAATACAGCTTTATTGGACTGATTCACACGCTGTATATTACACTATAAATACTGTTAACGCTGTATAAACCTACTTGTTGCAAAAAATAACATTATTCACACGCTGTATAAACACTATATTACACTATAAATACTGTTAACGCTGTATAAACCTACTTGTTGCAAAGTTTGCATGTTTTATCAGAGCACCTGATTTTAACTTTATAGCGTCATCGCTTGTTAAGGGAGTCGGGACGGAAATTCAACATTGACACTGAACATTCAGCACTTTTTAATGTGTGATTTACGAGATCACGGGATACCAACCTTTAGTGAACTTCACCAGCCGTCTTCTCTGCACCAAAATTAATAGACACAGCTGCTTACAGCGAATGATCGCTGATGGAGACGGAGACACGCGGTGTGCACGAAGGGGAGTGGCTGTGTGTGTGTAGGTCTCTGTATGTGGGAGAGACGCGTAGCTTGAGTGAGAGTTACGAAGGGCCGCCACATTTTAAACCCCCCTCCCCGCTGTCAAATTGACCGCTGCGGCGGCACTAGACGATGCATGTTTTAAATAGCGTAACAAAAAATATATATATATAATAATACGAAACGCAATTTGTGGCGGGCGGTCTCTAATCTGTGGCGGTGCGCCACAGATTAGTCTATGTGTGGGAAACACTGGAGTGAGTCATTCATTTTCAAGTGTCCTTCTTTGGCTGTATCCAAGAGGCCAGTGCTCTGAAAGTCCTGGTTCTATAGCCCGTCCATCCAAGAGAGATCCCAATAATTTAGGGTTGTACAAAAAGAAGTTGAATTGAAATGATAGTCCCCATTTTTACCTCCAAATTTGCACCGTTCTTAGCTATTTTGGGGAACATACATCACATGCAGCTGTATATCATTTAGGATTTTACTCTTGAGATTAAACTGCTCCCCCTGGAAACTCATTCCTGCAATTTCAATATTTTTGATGGGATAAATGTGGCCTAGGTTTGTTGGGTGGCATCTCTGATTGCCACCCCCCTGACCCAGAAATGGATTAAAGGGTAGAAGATGGATGGATGGATGGATGGATAAATGTGGCCTAGGTTTAGTGTGGCCCAGGCTTAGTGTGGAAGAGGGTTAATGTGGACTAGGATTAGTATGGTCTGGGGTTTGTGTGGTCTAGGGTTAGTTCCCACTGACCTAAAACTACAAACAGACTTAAACATCTTCGTGAGACGTCTGAAACTGTGGCGGAAATCGGAGCAACGTTGTTCACATGTCATTACTTTTATATTTGTAAATTTTAAATGTGTGCATTTGTGTCCTAAAAGCCTTCTATGGACAAGTGTTGGAAATTAGCATGGTCTTGCTATAACACCAAAGGCAGTGCATCTGGTGTGTCCAATGTCCATATCAAATAAATAAATAAATAGTGTGGCCTAGGATTAGTGTAGCCTAGGCTTAGTGTGGGCTAGAATTAGTGTAGCCTAGGATTAGCGTGGCCAAGGGTTTGTGTGGCCTAGAATTAGTGTGGCCTAGGATTAGTTTGGCCTGGGGTTTGTGTGGCCTAGGATTAGTTTGGCCTGGGGTTTGTGTGGCCTAGGATTAGTGTGGCCTAGGATTAGTTTGGCCTGGGGTTTGTGTGGCCTAGAATTAGTGTGGCCTAGGATTAGCGTGGCCAAGGGTTTGTGTGGCCTAGAATTAGTCTGGCCTAGGATTAGCGTGGCCAAGGGTTTGTGTGGCCTAGAATTAGTGTGGCCTAGGATTAGCGTGGCCAAGGGTTTGTGTGGCCTAGAATTAGTGTGGCCGAGGATTAGCGTGGCCAAGGGTTTGTGTGGCCTAGAATTAGTGTGGCCTAGGATTAGTTTGGCCTGGGGTTTGTGTGACCTCTCGAAAACGTCTTTACAGGATGGTCCAAAAACTGGCTCTTGGCCCAGAGCTCCGTTCCACATGTGTGTCAATGCTGAGGGGGGTGGATTTTTTTGGTCCACTCTAGTTTACTTGCTGTGAATTTTTGAAGTCTCTCGTTCAAATGAATGGAGCTGCGCCGGCTGACGCATGTGCAGATGCGTTTTTTCACAATTGTCTTGTGGGTGGGACCACTCGCGGCCAGTAGAGCAAATGTTTTGGCCCATTAGTTAGAACGGCAGAGATACGCGTGACTCTGTCCGTTAATATATACAGTCTATGGTCAGGACCAGAGCTGGATGATTTTACCTATGGTGCATGTTGGGGGGGAAACCAGAACGCCCGGAAGACAACCTCCTAAACACAGGGAGAACACAAACTCCGTGCAGAAAGGCCCGGGCAACACAGGATCGAACGTGCAACCTCCTGCTGTGAAGCATGGGGAATGTGACATCATCTATTTATTTATTTTATTTATTTAAGCATCTGTTCAAATACATGCAAGACATTCAACTCAAAGAGGTGGTCACATGCAAAAAAATACAAAAAATAAAAATAATTAAAGCCGCAAGCGGCGTCAAACGGCCCTCGCCACACCGCGCAACACCCCGCACCACGTGCCTTGCCGCTCCGCTACGACTCCCCGCTCCGCTACGACTCCCCGCTCCGCTACGACTCCCCGCTCCGCTACGACTCCCCGCTCCGCTACGACTCCCCGCTCCGCTACGACTCCCCGCACTGCGCACCGCTACGACTCCCCGCACCGCTACGACTCCCCGCACCGCTACGACTCCCCGCACCGCTACGACTCCCCGCACCGCTACGACTCCCTGCACCGCTACGACTCCCCGCTCCGCTACGACTCCCCGCTCCGCTACGACTCCCCGCTCCGCTACGACTCCCCGCACTGCGCACCGCTACGACTCCCCGCACCGCTACGACTCCCCGCACCGCTACGACTCCCCGCACCGCTACGACTCCCCGCTCCGCTACGACTCCCCGCACTGCGCACCGCTACGACTCCCCGCACCGCTACGACTCCCCGCACCGCTACGACTCCCTGCACCGCTACGACTCCCCGCTCCGCTACGACTCCCCGCACTGCGCACCGCTACGACTCCCCGCACCGCTACGACTCACCGCACCGCTACGACTCCCCGCACCGCTACGACTCCCCGCACCGCTACGACTCCCCGCACCGCTACGACTCCCCGCACCGCTACGACTCCCTGCACCGCTACGACTCCCCGCTCCGCTACGACTCCCCGCTCCGCTACGACTCCCCGCTCCGCTACGACTCCCTGCACCGCGCGCTTCTACGACTCTCCGTTCTGCTACGACTCCCCGCACCGCTACGACTCTCCGCAGCGCTACGACTCCCCGCAGCACTACGACTCCCCGCACCGCTACGACTCCCCGCACCGCTACGATTCCCCGTACCGCGCAACTCGCCGCAACTCGCTGCAACCCGCAATTCCCCTCTCCGTGACTCCCCGCGTGACTCGACGCTCCGCAGGTGGCGCTGCCGCGCCGCGCCATGATTTGCTACCATAGCCATAGACCAATGTATGTGATATTGATCCGTTGGTTTGGCCCCCCTGTAAAGCTTTAGCTCGGTATGTAGGGGGCGCTAAAGAGCCAATGTAATATTTTACACCTTCAGGTGACCCAGGCCCAGGAGTAGAACAACCGGGTCAAGTTTAGTACAAATCAAACTTTGTTTGTGCAAACGAGAGCTATTTTTCTATTGTCAAAAAAGGTCACTATTTGCCGCTCCACTGCTCGAACATCGTTTCCCTGATAAAAATTCCCTGAAGTCATTTTGAAGGTAAATGTGTTGAAATGATGTGGAGCAATTTTCAGGCGAATCTGTGAAACGGCCGAGGAGGAGTCGCTTCCCAAACGACATGTGTGAAAATTATTGCTGTTCGTTTATCCATTTTACAGTGAAATTTATGGGCTCCCTGTCTGTCAGAGGGCGAGGCCATAATAACATTTTTTTCATGTCTTACCTTGAGGAATATGTGTACCAAATTTCATGGCTCTACCGCAAACTTGAACTCCAAAACTCTTATAGGAGTATTAAATTGGCTGTTGTAGGGGGCGCTGTTCTGGCATTTTAATTATTTCACTTTCAAATGACCTACACCCTAGAGTTTAACCATGAAAACAAGTTTTGTGAAAATCGGACTTTGTTTGAGTAAACGGAAGTCATTTTTCTATAGTCAAAAACTAAAAAAAAAAACGCCACTTTTTGGCGCTTCGCTGCTCAAACAACGTTTCACTGATCAAAAATCGCTGAAATCAAAATGATGGTACATGTGTTTAGACGATGTGGAGCGATTTTAAGGCAAATCAGTGAAAAGGCCGATGAGGAGTCGCTTTCCAACCAACATGTGTGAAAATGACATTCTGTAGGGGGCGCTAATGCCTCAATTTGATGTTTTACACTTTCAGTTTACCCAAACCCAAAAGTTGAACAACCAATTCAAATTTGGTGCAAATCGGACTTTGTATGTGCAAATGGTGGCTTTATTAGACTACAATTGCGCCCCCTACAACTTCAAATTTGAAGTCTCTTACTAGGGAACACAAAATTAATAAAGTGTTTGCAAGAACAGAACTTGTGGCAAAATTTTGTAAGTTTTCGTGCATGTTCAGTGGGTCAAATATGACATCAAACAACAGCAAACTTGTTCTTTCCCAGGTTTTCCTGGGCTAGAACAAGTATAATTAAAGCCGCAAGCGGCGTCGAACGGCCCTCGCCACACCGCGCGACACCCCGCACCACGCGCCTTGCCGCTCCGCTACGACTCCCCGCTCCGCTACGACTCCCCGCTCCGCTACGACTCCCCGCACTGCGCTCCGCTACGACTCCCCGCACTGCGCTCCGCTACGACTCCCCGCACTGCGCACCGCTACGACTCCCCGCACCGCTACGACTCCCCGCTCCGCTACGACTCCCCGCACCGCTACGACTCCCCGCGCCGCTACGACTCCCCGCTCCGCTACGACTCCCCGCTCCACTACGACTCCCCGCTCCGCTACGACTCCCTGCACCGCTACGATTCCCCGTACCGCGCAACTCGCCGCAACCCGCAATTCCCCTCCCCGTGACTCCCCGCGTGACTCGCCGCTCCGCAGGTGGCGCCGCCGCGCCGCGCCATGATTTGCTACCATAGCCATAGACCAATGTATGTGATATTGATCCGTTGGTTTGGCTCCCCATGTAAAGCTTTAGCTCGATATGTAGGGGGCGCTAAAGAGCCAATGTAATATTTTACACCTTCAGGTGACCCAGGCCCAGGAGTAGAACAACCGGGTCAAGTTTAGTACAAATCAAACTTTGTTTGTGCAAACGAGAGCTATTTTTCTATCGTCAAAAAAGGTCACTATTTGCCGCTCCACTGCTCGAACATCGTTTCCCTGATGAAAATTCCCTGAAGTCATTTTGAAGGTAAATGTGTTGAAATGATGTGGAACAATTTTCAGGCGAATCTGTGAAACGGCCGAGGAGGAGTCGCTTCCCAAACGACATGTGTGAAAATTATTGCTGTTCGTTTATCCATTTTACAGTGAAATTTATGGGCTCCATGTCAGTCAGAGGGCGGGGCCATAATAACATTTTTTTCATGTCTTACCTTGAGGAATATGTGTACCAAATTTCATGGCTCTACGGCAAACTTGAACTCCAAAACTCTCATAGGAGTATTAAATTGGCTGTTGTAGGGGGCGCTGTTCTGGCATTTTAATTATTTCACTTTCAAATGACCTACACCCTAGAGTTTAACCATGAAAACAAGTTTTGTGCAAATCGGACTTTGTTTGAGTAAACGGAAGTACTTTTTCTATAGTCAAAAACTAAAAAAAAAAACGCCACTTTTTGGCGCTTCGCTGCTCAAACAACGTTTCACTGATCAAAAATCGCTGAAATCAAAATGATGGTACATGTGTTTAGACGATGTGGAGCGATTTTAAGGCAAATCAGTGAAAAGGCCGAGGAGAAGTCGCTTTCCAACCAACATGTGTGAAAATGACATTCTGTAGGGGGCGCTAATGCCTCAATTTGATGTTTTACACTTTCAGTTTACCCAAACCCAAAAGTTGAACAACCAATTCAAATTTGGTGCAAATCGGACTTTGTATGTGCAAATGGTGGCTTTATTAGACTACAATTGCGCCCCCTACAACTTCAAATTTGAAGTCTCTTACTAGGGAACACAAAATTAATAAAGTGTTTGCAAGAACAGAACTTGTGGCAAAATTTTGTAAGTTTTCGTGCATGTTCAGTGGGTCAAATATGACATCAAACAACAGCAAACTTGTTCTTTCCCAGGTTTTCCTGGGCTAGAACAAGTATAATTAAAGCCGCAAGCGGCGTCGAACGGCCCTCGCCGCACCGCGCGACTCCATGCACCGCGCGCACTCCCCGCACCACGCCGCCCCGCACCAAGCCGCAAAGCGCCGCTTCACAACGCCCCGCACTACGCCGCACCACACCGTACCACGCAGCACCGCTAAAAGGAGGTGGTCCCGCCGTGTGATGATTTGTGTCCGTAGCCATAGAAGAATGTTAGTCAAATTGTAATGAATATGATAAGTAGAGCTGGTTTGGCTCCCCATGTAAACTTTGATACAGTCTGTAGGGGGCGCTAATGGGCCAATTTCCAATATTTCACTTTAACCTGACCTAAACCCTAGAATTGAACAATGGATTCAAGTTTTGTGCAAATCAGACTTTGTTTGTGCAAACAGGAGCAAAATTAATGTTGTCAAAAAGAGCCAAAAAAAGCCTCACATTTTGCCGCTCCGCTGCTCAAACAACGTTTCACGGATCAAAATTCCCTGAAGTCATTTTGAAGGTACATGTGTTGAGATGATGTGGAGCGATTTTGAGGCGAATATACTTTTTGGTGAAACGGCCGAGGCTGGTTTGATGTTTGTGTGAGGTGTACATTTTGGTGTAGAAGTCGCTTTCCAACCAACATGTGTGAAAATGACATTCTGTAGGGGGCGCTAATGCCTCAATTTGATGTTTTACACTTTCAGTTTACCCAAACCCAAAAGTTGAACAACCAATTCAAATTTGGTGCAAATCGGACTTTGTATGTGCAAATGGTGGCTTTATTAGACTACAATTGCGCCCCCTACAACTTCAAATTTGAAGTCTCTTACTAGGGAATACAAAATTAATAAAGTTTTTGCAAGAACAGAACTTGTGGCAAAATTTTGTAAGTTTTCGTGCATGTTCAGTGGGTCAAATATGACATCAAACAACAGCAAACTTGTTCTTTCCCAGGTTTTCCTGGGCTAGAACAAGTATAATTAAAGCCGCAAGCGGCGTCGAACGGCCCTCGCCGCACCGCGCGACTCCCCGCACCGCGCGCACCACCCCGTGCCAAGCCACCCCGCACCACGCCGCCCTGCACCACGCTGTCCGGCATCACGCCGCCCCGCACCAAGCCGCAACTCGCCGCTCCACAACGCCCGGCACTACGCTGCACCACACCGTACAACGCAGCACCGCAAAAAGGACGTGGCGCTGCCGTGTGATGATTTGTTCCCGTAGCCATAGAAGAATGTTAGTCAAATTGTAATGAATATGATAAGTAGAGCTGGTTTGGCTCCCCATGTAAACTTTGGCTTAGTCTGTAGGGGGCGCTAATGGGCCAATTTCAAATATTTCACTTTCACCTGACCTAAACCCTGGAGTTGAACAATGGATTCAAGTTTAATGCAAATCAGACTTTGTTTGTGCAAACGGGGAAAAAAATTAATGTTGTCAAAAACGGCAGAAAAAAACCTCACATTTTGCCGCTCCGCTGCTCAAACAACGTTTCACTGATCAAAATTCCCTGAGGTCATTTTGATGGTACATGTGTTGAGATAATTTGGAGCAATTTTCAGGCCAATCGGTGAAACGGCCGAGGAGGAGTCGCTTTCCAACCGACATGTATGAAAATGATTGGTTTTAATTTTTCCATTTTACAATGACATTTATGGGCTTCCTGTTGGTCAGAGGGCTTAGCCATAATAACATTTTTTCCATGTCTTGACTTGAGAAACATGTGTACCAAATTACATGGCTCTACGACAATTTTGACCTCGGACCCCTCCCATTGGCATTTTTAAATTGGCTGTTGTAGGTGGCGCATTAGAGCCAATTTCAAAAATTTAACTTTCAAATGACCTACACCCAAGAGTTGAACCATGGATTTATGTTTTGTGCCAATCACACTTTGTTTGTGCAAACGGAAGCAATTTTTCTATTGTCAAAATTTGAAAAAAAATACGCCACTTTTTGGCGCTCTGCTGCTCGAACAACGTTTCACTGATCAAAATTCCCTGAAGTTATTTTGATGGTACATGTGTTGAGATGATGTGGAGCGATTTTGAGGCGAATCGGTGAAACGGCCGAGGCTGGTTTGATGTTTGTGTGAGGTGTACATTTGCAATGAATGGGGAGCGTTTCTCGTCGCCATGGCAACAGGGTAAAAAATAAGCCTTGGACCCTATTGACTTTTTGAATCAAGAGGGCAAAACAGATTTATGTGCAAAACTTCAAACATTTTGAAAAAACTAAATTTGAAAATGCCCATCTAAAACTTTGAAATAGTCTGTAGGGGGCGCTAATGTGTCAATTTGAAATAATTTACCTTCAAACGACCTAGACCCTAGAGCTGAACAATGTATTAAAGTTTTGTGCAAATCAGACTTTGTTTGTGCAAACGGGAGCAAATTTAATGTTGTCAAAAACGGCCAAAAAAATGTCACATTTTGCCGCTCCGCTGCTCAAACAATGTTTCACTGATCAAAAATCCCTGAGGTCATTTTGAAGGTACATGCGTTGAGATGATGTGGAGCGATTTTGAGGCGAATCGGTGAAACGGCCGAGGAGGAGTCGCTTTCCAACCGACATGTATGAAAACTTTTGCTGTTCATTTTTCCATTTTGCAGTGAAATTTATGGGCTTCCTGTTCGTCAGAGGGCGGGGCCATAATAATATTTTTTTCTTGTCTTGACTTGAGGAACATGTGTACCGAATTTCATGTTTCTACGACAAACTTGACCTCCGAAAAGTCCCATAGGGGTATTATTTTGGCTGTTGTAGGTGGCGCTGTTCTGTCATTTTTTGAGTCCCATAAAAATAAACACCAAAATATCAAATTTTTCACCAGGTCTGATTTTTGGGCCAAAATTAACAACTTTTCATGCATGTTCAGGGGGTCAAATTAAGGCTCAAAGTGCAGAAGAAAAAAGAAAGAAAGAAAGAAATAAATAAATTAAAGCCGCAAGCGGCGTCGAACGGCCCTCGCCGCACCGCGCGACTCCCTGCACCGCGCGCACTCCCCGCACCACGCCGCCCTGCACCAAGCCGCCCTGCACCATGCCGTCCCGCACCACGCCGCCCTGCACCATGCCGTCCCGCACCACGCCGCCCCGCACCAAGCCGCAACGCGCCGCTCCACAACGCCCCGCACTACGCCGCACCACACCGTACCACGCAGCACCGCTAAAAGGAGGTGGCACCGCCGTGTGATGATTTGTTTCCGTAGCCATAGAAGAATGTTAGTCAAATTGTAATGAATATGATAAGTAGAGCTGGTTTGGCTCCCCATGTAAACTTTGACACAGTCTGTAGGGGGCGCTAATGGGCCAATTTCCAATATTTCACTTTAACCTGACCTAAACCCTGGAATTGAACAATGGATTAAAGTTTTGTGCAAATCAGACTTTGTTTGTGCAAACAGGAGCAAAATTAATGTTGTCAAAAAGAGCAAAAAAAAACCTCACATTTTGCCGCTCCGCTGCTCAAACAACGTTTAACGGATCAAAATTCCCTGAAGTCATTTCGATGGTACATGTGTTGAGATGATGTGGAGCGATTTTGAGGCGAATCGGTGAAACGGCCGAGGCTGGTTTGATGTTTGTGTGAGGTGTACATTTGCAATGAATGGGGAGCGTTTCTCGTCGCCACGGCAACAGGGTAAAAAATAAGCCTTGGACCCTATTGACTTTTTGAATCAAGAGGGCAAAACAGATTTATGTGCGAAATTTCAAACATTTTGAAAAAACTAAATTTGAAAATGCCCATCTAAAACTTTGAAATAGTCTGTAGGGGGCGCTAATGAGTCAATTGGAATCATTTGACTTTCAAATGACCTAGACCCTAGAGTTGAACAATGTATTAAATTTTTGTGCTAATCAGACTTTGTATGTGCAAACGGGAGCAAATTTAATGTTGTCAAAAACGGCCAAAAAAAGGTCACATTTTGCCGCTCCGCTGCTCGAACAATGTTTCACTGATCAAAAATCCCTGAGGTCATTTTGAAGGTACATGTGTTGAGATGATGTGGAGCGGTTTTGAGGCGAATCGGTGAAACGGCCGAGGAGGAGTCGCTTTCCAACCGAAATGTATGAAAACTTTTGCTGTTCATTTTTCCATTTTGCAGTGAAATTTATGGGCTTCCTGTTTGTCAGGGGGCGGGGCCATAATAATATTTTTTTCTTGTCTTGACTTGAGGAACATGTGTACCAAATTTCATTTTTCTACGACGAACTTGTCCTCCGAAAAGTCCCATAGGGGTATTATTTTGGCTGTTGTAGGTGGCGCTGTTCTGTCCTTTTTTGAGTCCCATAAAAATAAACACCAAAATATCAAATTTTTCGCCAGGTCTGATTTTTGGGCCAAAATTAACAACTTTTCATGCATGTTCAGGGGGTCAAATTAAGGCTCAAAGTGCAGAAGAAAAAAGAAAGAAAGAAAGAAAGAAATAAATAAATAAATAAATAAAAAAGGAATTTTTTGTGACTTGTCTCGAGCAAAAACAATATAGGTTTCAATGGCATGTGATTCATCATTTTAAAGCTTTTGAGTTTACGCACGCAACCGTCACGTTTTGGTGAGTGACGGGCGCTGACGCGTCCGTCACGCACCGCCACCATTTGTTTTCACCATTGTGAAAGCAATAGGCCCTTACCCCGTTCGGGGCTCGGGCCTAATAAATAAAAAAGGAATTTTTTTGTTAACGTCTCGAGCAAAAACAATATAGGTTTCAATGGCATGTGATACATCATTTTAAAGCGTTTGAGTTTACGCATGCAACCGTCACATTTTGGTGAGTGACGGGCGCTGACGCGTCCGTCACGCACCGCCACCATTTGTTTTCACCATTGTGAAAGCAATAGGCCCTTACCCCGTTCGGGGCTCGGGCCTAAAAATAAAAATATTGACAGAGTATCATTCCCGTTAAGGCTCAGTGTTTGTGCTGCGTTGTCGTGTGCAGACCCTCGGTTGGGTTTTAATTGACAGATGATCCGTGCTTAAACTTCAGTGCTGAGCTTTTCACTTTGAAACAGCCTCAGCGGATTTCCCAAGTCTAAATTATTCAAACAGCGTTGCACAGAAGTTGACAGATTTGACAATCCCCAATGTGCGAGCAGCTCAGACTCAGGACTAGACTCACTTCTACACACACAATGACACACATGTTACACACCATGAGGGAGATGGCTCACTTCACACACTTAACTACTCGATCTAACTTCAAGCGACAATAAAATAAATGTATGAACTCAAAATGTTTGTACCTAAACATTTTTAATACTATGTAACCTATAGATATACATAGTTTAATCTCAGAAGGACAGCTAAAACAATTTCAAGAAAAATGGATGCCTTTAAAAAAAAAATGTATTGAACTTTGGGGACATAATTGTTACATTTAGGACATGTTGGAGGCTTTGTGAATGGAAGAATGAACAGGACAGAGACTATTAAATGGTTGGAGATATAACTATAATCAATATGTATTTATAGTTGTATGCAAAAAAAATATTAGTCAATAACTGCGGACAAACTGGACGTTTTGGAGTGCTGTGTGTGCGTGAATGAATCTGTGTTTAAGAAGTGCCCCCTTCACTGGACAAACAAGCAGGAAACAAAACAAGAGTGGGTCGTGAACATTCTGCAGTAACGGCTGCGGACACTTTGGGACTTTTTTGTGTCATTGACCGAAATGTAACACATTGATACAGTTTAGTTTGGAGTGAGCCAGATACCATCATCTCTCCTGGAATGATCCACTTAACTCATGGACTGCCAGCCGTTTTTGATGATTTCACTGATTCTCAAGACTCACAGAATATTATGTGCTAAGACTATGTGAAACATGAAACCAGATTCTGAAAAACTGGACTGTGTACTTTCATCAGCAACAATAAGTTTGTTTCTAGATATTTTTGTTCTCCTGTAATCCCTAGTTGAATCGAGGGAAGTTTGACAGAAATCACCAGAAATCATGAGTTAATACAATCTGATTCTAAAGAACACATGTGATGCATTTGTGTTGTTTTATCCCTAAACGTGATCTTGAGAATATTTACTTTGGCATTCCATGTGGCATTTGGGAATGTGGAATAAGTCTGAGTAATTATATGAATAAACATGTATATAGGATGAAGTTAAGATTACGATCAGTGAAACCCTCTCTGCTCTCTCTCTCTCTTTTTTGCCTTATGGATGTTTTATGATATGTTATGAGTATGAACCAACTCTGACTCTGGGGAGCACAGGGACTGGTCTCAAGCTGGTGCCAAGAGTCAGAACTAAACAAGGGGAGGCCACACACCAGTTTTCCAGAAGATGTGAGACAGGCTTCTTCTCTGACAATGTTCAACTCCAGGTTAAAAATAGTTCTGTTTAGCTGCAACAACTGAGGGATTTTATATTCACTGTTTTTATTATAATTTTATTACCGTGTGTAATTGTTTACATCTTAATTTGTCAAGCACTTTGAGTTGCCTTATGTATGACCTGTGCTATACAAATAAACCTGCCTTGCTTTTATAAGTTTATATAATTATACTGTATTTTTCTGCTATTGCCATTTTTTTATTGTACATAATTATATCCTGCTATATATATATATCTATTTTTAACCTTTAAAATATTGCACACTTCTGTCTTTTTGTGATTTAAATTTCTCCATTGTGAGATCAGTAAATTTTCATCTTATCTTATCTTCGAAGAGAATTTCCTAAAAAGTGAATGATGGCTTGAAAAGTAGCGTTTTGGTGAAGATGACGTTATAGACTGATGCAGGGCATATGGAAAACGTGATGTAAGGGAACCATGGCATTTTCCCTTTGTGCTCAGGAGGCGGGACTTAGTGATGGACATTTGTGTAGGGGGGGGGGGGGGGGTGTGCTATGCGAGGAATGCCGCCGCATGTTGTAACTGGAACCCCACGAAAGAGTGCGTCCTCCTGGGGACAGTTCCAAAGCGCGACGCCCGGCCCCTCCATCACTCACCCACAATGTGGCTTTCTGCCCCAAGACACCACTTTACTACGTCTGGGTTTTTTCAGAGAGTTCCACTGTCTGTGCTGACGTAAATCTACCCTGTCCAATAAAATCCCACCGTGAGAAGCAGAGGTGGGAAAAATTTGTGTCTGTTAACTGTGCTGCACATCTATAATCATACATTAAGTTATGTTAAATTAAATGTTTCTTTTTTTTTTTACATGTTTTGCCATCTCAGTGCATTGCCTCAGGGATCCACAGGTAGACCAAGTCCCGGTGATCCAAGATGGCGTCCTATTCAAATGAATGGCTTGACCTCAGTAGTGCATGGGACTTACAAGGGGACCGAAATAATAGCAGAGCTCGCCCATATTTGGTCATTTCTCTGGTCCTCCTGGTTCTGCGCAGTGGACGAGATCCCATAATGCTTTGCGCCAAATACGCGTGTGTGGCTCTCATGCAGGACGGCAAGGGACACTAAATTTCCCACAAAATCCAACCTTTAAGAAAGCTGTAAGAAAGAAACGTCTTTAATTGAATAATGCACAAAGTGATATGTTCTCTCACAGACGACTCATGTACGATGAGTTTTATACAGAGAACTATTTGTATAAACAATATTATAGACCACTTTTTGCCACTGGGGTATTACGATCCAGAAACCAGCTATAAAATATTATGTGTAAATTTATAGTAATGACCCATATGTGTCCCTGGTCTTATATTGTGAACATGACCTTGGTTGGATGCATGTGTGGACTTTCCCCACTGCACATTGTCTGCTCTCTGTCTGCTGTCTGGTCTCTCTCTGGTCTCTCTCTGGTCTCTCATGGTCTCTCTCTGGTGTCTCTCACTAGTATCTCTCCGGTCTCTCTCTGGTCTGGCTGGTGTCCTTCTGGTGTCTCTCTGGTGCCTCTCCAGTCTCTGAAATCTCTCTTGTCTCTCTCTGGTCCCGCTCTGATCTTTCTCTGGTCTCTCTCTGGTCTCTCCGGTCTGTCTCTCTGGTGTCTTTCTTGTCTCTGATCTCTCTCTAGTCTCTGGTCTCTCTCTGGTGTCTCTCACTAGTATCTTTCTGGTCTCTCTCTGGTCTTGCTGGTGTGCTTCTGGTGTCTCTCTGGTGCCTCTCTGTTCTCGTTCCGGTCTCTGATCTCTGAACTCTCTCTGGTCTCTCATTGATCTCTCTCTGGTCTCTCTCTTGTCTGTCTCTGATCTCTCTCTCTGCTCTCTCTCTCTTGTCTCTCTCTTGTGTCTCTTTCTGGTCTCTGGTCTCTCTCTGATCTCTCTCTGATCTCTGACTGATCTCTCTCTGATCTCTCTCTGATCTCTCTCTGATCTCTCTCTGATCTCTGACTGATCTTTTGCTCTGGTCTCTCCCTGGTCTCTGTTTGCTTTCTCTCTCTGGTCTCACTCTGGTCTCTCCCTGGTCTCTGTCTGCTCTGTACTCACTCACATGTGACTTTCCACACGTCGCTCCAGAACCACAGCACATTTACAGCCCTGACCACTGCCTCTGGATCAGGGGCCCCTCCAGTGGACAGGGGCCTTTTACTGCTACATAGATGGAAATGATGCCTTCGAAATATCTTCTGGTGAACTCAGACAATGAGATGTTAGTTTAAAAGGTAGGATTGTGTTTTGAGAGCAAAAAGGCAAATACTGTACATAAAGTGTTGAGGTCTTTAACTACTGTTGTGATTTAGGCTTCACAAAAATACATTGAATTTGATTAATTTGAATTGAATTGAATTTGTATCTGTCCTGTATGTGCGCTGCAACATGTGTGGGGTGAATATTGGCTCTCTCTCATCTCTTGACTGGAGATATTTCTCAAAGTCATTTGAATTTCTCTCCATGACGTCATGATCTGAGTATTTGTCTATAACAGATTAAAGCAAGGACCAAGTCAAATACACCAGACACCAAAATAAAAACATTTTTACGAGCCGAGGGCCAGACTGGTTCAATATTAAAATGAATTAAAATGATTGTATGAAACCTATTGAACCAAGACCTAACACAGTGGACCATATTTTATTTAAAGATTAAATTCATTATCCAACATTTTGGTGGCTCTGTCAGTCATTTGACACCCATGATCTAAAATGCTTGAAAACAGGGCATTTAAATCCGTGTATCATTCGTTCTTTTGATTTTCTAAATAAAACCAACATTGAAAAAACGAAATGATACACGGATTCATTTAAACCAGGAATGACCAAACTAAGGCCAATTGAAGCCCTATGTGTCATTTTATGTGGGCCTCTGCCTTGTTATCCCAAAATACGATTGAGATCATAAAGTTTACAGTATCATCCAGCCAACTTCAGCTCTGACAATATAGTCTAGCTGTATCTCTTTGTCAGGCTCAAAATCTCTGGAATCCTCTTTATTTGTGGATACTGACTGACTAAACTGAATGTTTACTTTCTCAATGTAGCTGGTGAGAGGGTAAACATTTGTCATTCAGCCGACTTCAGCACAGTTAAAATGAATCCTTGTCTCACACCTGGTTTTAAAGTCGGACTTCAGTCAAAACAGTTTTACAATCTAGCTTGAACTAAAGTGGCCCTCTCACTAAAAAGTTTGTGGACCCCTGATTAAAACAGAAGGGGTGGGGAGACATATTTGTGGCAGAAGTTCCTGATGTGGAAAACTGCAGATCTGTTTGTGTTAAGTTCACATCTCAGAGTTCCGAGCACTTCCCCCTTCACCTTTCGTCAGTGACTGGTGAACTCTTTGTCTGCGCTGAGTCAGGCCGGAGCTCCTGCCTCGGCTTGTCTTCACTGTACCTCACGTCACCGTAAATCTTGCAAAACCTCCACAAGACGCCACGGTCGGTAAATGAGCGGTGTGAGCGGCTGGCCGGGCTCCAGACAAAAGTGTGAAAAGAAAGAGATCAAAAAAACTATTTATATTTGTACACTTTTGTAGATTTATTAAAACTGCTTCAATTTTGATTTTGCTTTGAATATTTCTCCATATGGTTTTAGATCGAGGGTGTAACTGTTTTTATGATTGTATTTTTGATTCAAATGAAGGAATTCTGACAAAGTGGAGTTCTGTTTGGGTTGAACCAAAACCAAAGCAATGATAGACCAATGACATATTTATTACAAATGAAGCTTAAGCGTAAATTCAGACTGGAAGACCAAAGAGATGTCATGCTGCCACACTGACTCCTCCCCCTCTGCACTGACTCCGCCCCCTCTACACTGACTCCTCCTTCTACACTCCTGCACCTGAGCTCAACAGCCTGAGCCTTAGCTGCCTCAGTCACACACCTGTGCTCATCACTTCATGGCTGCATTTAAACAGAGCCTCTCAGTTCTCTGCAGCTCAAGCTACTGTTCGAGCAGCAACCCACCTCCTCCCCATCACTGCCTCGTCAGTCTAGTATCATGTCATGTCTTTGGCTCAGCTACATGTACTTCCCCACCAGTTTCTAAGCCCCGGGGGGTCGCAAGCTCATAATTTCTATGAAACTTCCCTCTACATACGCCCTGCAGTGTTCCTGCCGGGGTCTAATCACCAATCTTAACAATAAATATAATAGTACTCAATCTAAGTCTGTTTGTGTTTATTTATGCATCTTGACAATAAATATTCTGACGCAATCTTGGTCTCGAGTCTCTCCAGATTGAATCTATTATCTAATATTGTGGTCAATTTTGTTGAAGAAATTCAATTATTATTATTATATTATTATTATTAACTTACCGACCACACTGCAAGTTAATAATAGTAATTGATAATCCACTAAAATGGTCTATTGGTTTGAAATGCCTGCTTTAGATGAAATATTTTAGAATTCTAAGATTGCACTTACATTTGGATTCTTAGCATTCAAAGCACTCTCTTCAAGCGTCTCCATGTCTGACATATTTCTTCTGGCGTCTCTGTCTTTCAGAGCTGCTGGGTTCCACCAAGAGGCTGAACGTGAACTACCAGGATGCAGATGGGTAAGGGCACAGTATAGTATAGTACACAGTATAACCCCGAGCTCCATAAGGAAGTGCCCATGGACAAAGATTAGCTCTGGCTCCTATTGACTTACATTCAATTCAATTACATATATTTTTGTATTGCTTATTTATTATTTCCTAAATCACAATAGCAGTCATCTCGGAGGACTGTACAAAGTTGTTGATTCACAGAGTAGAGATTAAAACAGTTCCACCACAGAAAATGCGCTAATAACAAACATATAGGAGCCATTGGTCCATAGGGAGCGGGAGATGACCACTGTCCATAAATGTCCTTAATTGTCCCGGATTATCACTGTCCTTAGACCCTCCTGCATATGCAAATAAATCCAGGACTCAGGCTGTAGAACGAGGACTGAGGCTGGATTGAAAAGCTTGTGTCACATTCAACATTTTGAGCTTAATAAGTCTGTGGTTTAGCGCTCTCTATGGTCCTTGTATGTATATATTCTGATATTGTCTTTGTGAATCTAGATATGAGCTAATATAAAGAAAACATCTGCCCCTGTTACGGTGCAAAGCTAACACAATACAAATGTGATATAGGGAAATTGGCCAGTTAGCTTATGTTCAAATCGGCTTCTTCCACATTCGACAAACACTTTAGTGACATCAGCACTCAGTCTGTCCACTTCTATCCATCTATCTATCTATCTAATATATACACTCTATGGTGCAGGTTCAAACAGGAGTACTGAGTCAGGGATGTTTTGAGTGACTATTCATGTTCAAATTGAGTGAGTCACAGTAAAAAGGCAGTTATTAGCACATACAGTCTGGATATGACTAATTTTGGAGGCTCCGTCACTGACATGTATGGTGTGTTGATCATAAGAATGAACTGCTTCTGTAAAATGAGCTGTAAAGTGCACACTGGGGCATTCTTGCATAGTTTTCACAGTGTGGTTTTACTGCAAATGGCAAATATATTCTTGAATCTTGAAGTGATCTATGACAACGGTTTAATATTATGCATTTAGTACATTCCGAAATCTCAATATTGAACTTAAATGATAAAATATAACTGCTCCACTCAGACTAAAAATCAAGTTAGCAATCAGCAGATCAGATTTTTTTTCAACAAGCAAAAGTGAATTCCCTCAGACTAAAAAGGCCTTCTTTGGTGTTTTGGAATCAAAATCAAGTGAACCTCACATTTGGAAGAATATTAATGACTCAGAAAAAACTCAAATTTTATCAATGTATACTTAATTTTTAACAAACCTGTCTAGAAAATCTTCTAAAATCCCTGAACCAGAGCCAAATCTTCTTACCTGAGTAACTTGAGCTAAAGAGACTGGGACACACTGGGGGTTCGTTGATTACTGGACTGTTTATCAGAACTTTTGGAATATAAAATGTGTTTTCCTCATCAGGGTCCTGTTGTGGCTGTGAAAATAAACTCATTAGAATTGCAAAGTGGGGTCTCATTAGCTGAAGTGGTGCTGCCTGTGCGTGCATACAGGGGGCGCTGTGCAGAGGAGGGTGGAAGTGTGTGTGTGTGTATGTTCAAGGTTCAAGGTATCTTTATTAACCCCGAGGGGCAATTTGGTTGTAGCAGCAGAAACGCACATATACACACGGAAACAATACATACACAAAAACCGGATTAAGATGACTGGTTTAAAATACCATGGCATGCTTGTGTAGACGTGTGTGTGTGCTTGTGTGTAAGTGGTTGTAATGTATGTGTGTGCACAAGTGTGTGCATGTGTGCGGGCGCGCGTGCATGTGTGTGTTTGCATATGTGTGCGTGTGCTGACTTAAAGATATATAGGAGAATTTTCTACTTTCAGGTGGATCATCAAGACCACTTTTTGAACCAGTTTTGTTCAAAAAGTGGGAAAATCCTCCTATAAACCTTTAAGCTCAACACTCGAATTTCATTGCTTTATTAATATTAAAGTTTGAATATATATACTAAAATGAATTAATATTTTTACCAATAAATGCTTGTAATATCTCCCTTGGTATATAAAAAAAGTTATTTCGGCTATCGTTTTGTCCACCAGAGGGCAGTGCATGTAATCAATGCTGTTTTTAGAAGAAGCACAGTCAACCTGGGTTCTTTATTTAGATCAGATGCCGTCATCACTTTTCTTATAAACGAGCGTGTAAAGGTCAGAAGTCTTCAGATCGAGTCAAATGGCCCGTGTCAGCAGATCCCATGCTCTGTTTGGCGGGCAGAAGGCTCCGTGTACCAACGGGAGGCAGCATGTGGTCGATTCTGGTCTGTTTAGCCGCCGTCACGTTGCTATAGGAACGCGTACCTGGCAAACTAATGCCTCAGAGAATCGGAAGCGAAAAATCAACATTTGCAGCTAATAGACATAAATCATGCCAGTGTAATATTCGAATATTAAAGGGATACGAATTTTTACAGAATTTTAGGAAAGAACCGCCCTCTTCACTTTTTGGAAAAACTCTCTGGTCTTATTTGACGAGCAAGTATCACCAGAATGATTGACAGTTGGGAGGACCAATAGTCTTAAAGATCCACCCGGAAGTAGAAAATCCTCCTATATACCTTTAAGGGCTGTCTAATTTTTGTTCAAATGTCAATATCTTTTGTTAATATTCGAATCATGTTTTGGTATTGAATTTTGTTTTCCCGTTTGCCCTAGTCTCCATGTGTGTATACGAGTGCGTGTGTGCGTATGTGTGTGCGCTTGAGTAGATGCATGTGTGCGTGATTTATGAGAGGAGCCACACACAGGGCTGTCAACACTTCTGCACACACTCTGTCTCTGGGTTCAGGGACTGGACCGGTCACTGCACACAGACAATACCTCATTTTCTAACCACAACATTGGAACTATGTGTAACCTCCAATTTGTGTTCTTCCAGTTCTGTTCTATCTCTAATTATCACATGCATTTATTTTGTCCTTCTGTCACATCTTTAGATCATCTTTTTCAGACAGAAAAATGAAAATGAAAATCTCTCAGCCAATCAGGGCTGCAGGGTATGCAGATGATAAGATAGAAAGATGAGGTCTAATCTTTTCCTAAAATGTTGACTATATTTATGAAAATGCTCACTATGTTTATGAATATTAAAAAATTAGGTACGCCAGCTTTATACAACCAAACTGTTACTTTTGTCTGTATCTACTTTTTTGTGTTGCCATTTTCTATTTTGAACCTCTGATACATGGATGGTTCGGCAGCACTGCTCATTTTAGTTTGATTAGGGGAAAACATTTTAATCATAATGATAATAATAATAATAATAATAGAAGATTCCCATTCAGCATCTGCTGTTAACCCCAGTCTTAAAGTTGGCAGGTCTCTCCCCCTGGCTCGGGTCCAAGGAGACACCTGTGTATGGTGTTTATGACAGAAACAGTCCCAGATGTCTCCCACATGGAGCCGTGAAAGAGAACTGCTCCCAAAAGACCTTTTCACACCAACATTACACATTTCTCTACAGTTATTTCTTTGTTTGGTGTGATGGAACCCAGGGTAAATACTCCTAATAGTTTTACAGTTTCGTCAACTTTAGAATGTGTCAAATGAACTCTGACAAAAAGGATTAACTAGGAGAATTGTATTATATAGTTGTTTTTTTTGGCGTTTGAGAGTTAGCTACCTCCGCTTTAAGAGTGTGCTGTCTCCTCAGCTTCTCAGCCCTGCACCACGCTGCCCTCACTGGGACCTTGGAGCTGCTGTCCCTGCTGCTGGAGGCCCAGGCCACGGTGGACATCAAGGACATCAACGGTAACTTGCACTTTACTACAGCAGAGACTAGCTCCAGTTACTGTACATCTGCCAAGGGGTTATGTTTTTGTCTGTCTGTCTGTAAGTCTGTCTGTCTGTCTTTCTGTCCACTACAGCAGACACTATAGCTCCAGCTACATCTGCCAAGAGGTTATGTGTCCGTCTGTTTGTCTGTCTGTCTATAGGTCTGTCTGTCTGTCAAGGGGTTATGTCGGTCTGTCTATAGGTCTGTCTGTCTGTCTATAAGTCTGTCTGTCTGTCTGTCTATAGGCCTGTCTGTCTGTCTGTCTATAGGTCTGTCTGTCTATTGGTCTGTCTGTCTTTAGGTCTGTCTGTAGGTCTGTCTGTCTGTCTATAGGTCTGTAGGTCTGTCTGTCTGTAGGTCTGTCTGTCTGTCTATAGGTCTGTCTGTCTGTAGCTCTGTCTGTCTGTCTATAGGTCTGTAGGTCTGTCTGTCTGTAGGTCTGTCTGTCTGTCTATAGGTCTGTCTGTCTGTAGCTCTGTCTGTCTGTCTATAGGTCTGTCTGTCTGTCAAGGGGTTATGTCGGTCTGTCTGTAGGTCTGTCTGTCTGTCTATAAGTCTGTCTGTCTATAGGTCTGTCTGTCTATTGGTTTGTCTGTCTTTAGGTCTGTCTATAAGTCTGTCTGTCTATAGGTCTGTCTGTCTGTCTATAGGTCTGTCTGTCTGTCTATAGGTCTGTCTGTCTATTGGTTTGTCTGTCTTTAGGTCTGTCTGTAGGTCTGTCTGTCTGTCTATAGGTCTGTAGGTCTGTCTGTCTGTCTATAGGTCTGTCTGTCTGTAGGTCTGTCTGTCTATAGGTCTGTCTGTCTGTAGCTATGTCTGTCTGTCTATAGGTCTGTCTGTCTGTAGCTCTGTCTGTCAGTCTATCTGTCTGTATGTAGCTCTGTCTGTCTGTCTATAGGTCTGTCTATAGGTCTGTCTGTCTGTAGGTCTGTCTGTCTGTCTATAGGTCTGTCTGTCTGTAGCTCTGTCTGTCTGTCTATAGGTCTGTCTGTCTGTCTGTCTGTATTTTCTCTGTGGTCGAATTTAACAGTTAAAAACCTAAAAAAGCAGAAAGTGTCTCCTTTAAGTCAGGTGCATGTGGAGTGGACAGAAGCCCGAAGCATCTCATCAGCAGAGCGAGGTCAGACCAGGGCGCCTCGTTCTTCTTAGATTCCTCATTCTGAGCGACTCTGGGGCTGAGTGAATACATTTGACAGGCTTTTGAAGTCCTGGCGGCAGCAGCAGAAATCTTCATTTTCAAAGCCTCCAATTTGGGCTGTAGTCGCAGTGAGAGGCAAGTGAGAGGCAAGTGAGAGGCAAGTGACCACATGTGACCGCTCCCTCTATACAGTATACGGTCAAACACGCTTAAATAAAATACAGTTTATCCCAAATGTATTCAAGCAGGAAAGCATAGATTAAAAGATTAAGATGTCCTTTTGAAGAATAAGTAGCGCTGGTTTGTACTGGAGTGCCATTTTATTTTAGATCGAATTTTTGCGCAACGCGGAAGATAATGCATTTTGTGACCAGATTGTGACCAATCATAGCGGACCACTGGCCCCCACTTTCTTGAGAAAGGCTACAAGTCTCTCGTTAGCACAGACAGCTGAGGTAAACGAGCATCATGGCGGAGGCGAACCTGAAACTTCCTGTGTCTTCGTTACCGGTTACTGCTTATACAGCGAAACAGCCAAAAGAAAGTCCCTACAAGAACGGAGAGAGGCCAAGTGTGTGAAGGAGCAGGAGAGAGGCCCCCGGGAAGAGGACGAGACTACCAAAGCACTGGGGCATGCAATCAAATGAAGAACAAAAAATACCGGCGACATTTCCATTTGTTTTTGGGCCAAAACAAAAGAGCGAAGGAAGTGCTTACATTTTAAACTGCTGCTTCAAAGTCACAAAGGGAGTTAGTCCAGCTTTAATCTACAAAACACAAATTGCAGAATTCCTCATAAAACATACACCAATTTATGGCAAATGTTCAAGGAGAGAATGGGGTCATTTTTTCTAAATAAAGGATTACTTAAAAAAATAGAGATATATGTTTATCCAAATATTTTCTACTTGATGATTACTCATTCTAAAACATGGAATGCCAAAGTCAACATTTTCAAGATCATGTTTAAGGGACAAAATGAATAACATTTGTTCATTCATGGTAGGAAAGTTGGATTTGTAAAATGTGAACATTGGAACAAAAGTTATTTTAGAAATAGCTAGAACCGCTTTTTCTGAACCATTCAATTCAACTCAATTTATTCTTGTATAGCCCTAAATCACAACAGTAGTCATCTCAGAGGACTTAACAAAACCATTGAAATCACCAACACAGATCAGAGAAACAACAGTTAAGACACAGAGAATATAAAACACATGTGTATCTGTCCATAGGGACAGACCAATGTCCATGAATGTTGATAAATGTCCATACATGTTGTAGAATGTTAAAGTGTCCTGGATCATCACCACAGTCCTTCTTGTTAGACACTAACTGTCCAACAGACTCCTGCATCAGAGGAAAAATTCTATTTCCCAGTGGGAGAAAAATGAGACTCAGACTGTAGAACAAGGACCAAGGCCACGCAGCGGCTGCAGAACGTCCGGTGCAGGACTAAACAAGTGCGGTGCAGGACTAAAGCAGCTCCAGGCAGGTCGGGTAGAGCATTGGCCTTCAGGCCAGAAGGTCGTGGGTTCAATTCCCACCTCTACACCTTCTCCACCGACTCCCACTGATGACTGCTGTCGTTGTGTCCTTGGGCAAGACACTTAACCCCACTTTGCCCAAAGCCCCCACTGAAAGATCAAGGCTATGCTCACACTCAGAGAGCAGCCGTCCTCCTGTGGACTCACCACCTGCAGAGGGTCAGTGAGGGGCTGGTGCTATGAGACTTGGGTGGCATCTCTGATTGCCACCCCCCTGACCCAGAAATGGATTAAAGGGTAGAAAATGGATGGATGGATGGATGGGTTCATAGGTCCAGTCGTTGCACCATGAAACAAACAATGGGTGAATAGCAATGAACAGCACAGAGCGAGTGGTGGGGGTGAGGTGTGTGTGTGTCTGTGTATGTCTGTGTGTGTGTGTGTGTGGGGGCGCTGTATGTATTTTGTATCCTCTTTGTTTTATGTTGCATGTGTACACAAATGATAAATAAATGACAATATATTTCTTAAACAGACACTTGCAGAAGATCCAAACTGCTCAGAATAACGTCAAAGCTGAGACGTTCTTGTGTTTCGGGGGAAGTTGTGTCACTTTTTGTGCCTCACTTTTTATAGAATGCATATAATCTGTGATAATTGGGTTCTCCCAGTTGTAGAAATACTTTGAATAATGTATTACGTTCCTTCCATGACACAATCTGAGAGAAGTGTGTGTAACTGCCTGTCCCCAGTTCAACTCCTTCCTCCAAGTAGTGACAGTGACAGAGAAAGTATGTTTTATCGAATAATAATGTGCTTTTCTAGAACAACAGATGCAGTGGTCCTTCCTTTATTGTGGGACCTTTAAACCCGTGTTCCTCAACCTTTTTGAGCCGTGGCACACAATCACATGGCACACCACCAGCTGAAACGAATACAAAAATGAAATAATGAGACTTTATTATGTAAATGTAAGCAAAAAAGCAAATTCATTCTTATCAAGGGTATTGTATAGAAAATCAATCAACAAGTTTCTCAAATCTTCTCACATTTTTTTAACCCACTATGTGATATTGAACTATTTCCCAATGCACAACAAACAACATGGCAAGGCCCACTAACGTTCCACAGCACACTGGATGAAAAACACTGCTTTAAACAATAAAAAATCTCAAAACAATCTATGAAACAGCGAGGTCAGGAAAGAGGAGAGACGCATTCTACAAATCTTTGTATGTGGGAAAGGTGAAGGCGTTCTACTGAGGCATAGTTTTCTGCACTTTTTTTGGGTTTAAATAGTACTTTTATCTGGACAAACTGGTGGAGTTGGCAGCCAGATTTAGATCTAACTGCAGCATAATGTCAGACTTCTACCTCGAGATGAGAGAGCAGCTGTTTTTACTCATCTCTCACTGCTTCATAATTTTATGTCCATACATTTTCTGCTAGAAGAAATATTTTGCATCATTCTTGGACATTGAAAATTATATTGACTGGAACACCCTCAACAATACCCTCAACAAAATTAAATCTTGTTTCATTCTGTTGAGGGTGTTTGGGCCTTTTATGCAAACAAAGACATCCATCCCGGAATCACAGACATGTAGGCCTACACTATTTACAACTATGAACAACAATTTAAATTGTAATATATGCAGATATGTTATTTATAATTTACAATTAGTGGTAACCAGCCCAGCACCTCCACAAATTACCTTCCAAGAAAAGAAAAGGGACAAGTTAGGGAATAATGAACCAAGCTAAATACTTCAAAATAAAACCGGAGGAACACATCTGTGGGGTGAGGTGTGGGGACAACTTCACAATTATCTTGAGTAGAAAATACACGGTGAAGCAAGTATGCAGAGTAACTCCCAATGCTACCACCAGAGGGAGGCTGCAAACATGCTTCAGGCCCAAAGAAATGCAGATGAGTATGATTATGTCCTTTAACTCTTACACTGTGTGTGGTCCGTAGGCATGCGCCCGCTGCACTACGCCGCGTGGCAGGGAAAAGCCGACTCTGTGCTGCTGCTCCTGCGCTCCGGGGCCGCGGTCAACTCCCTTTCACTGGACGGGCAGATCCCCTTACACCTGTCGGCTCAGTACGGACACTACGAGGTGGTACGTACTCACTAACACTCCACACACACCTCCTGGGGCCAGAGCATGGAGCCCCTTAGACCTGCCTGCTCAGTGCGAACCCTATGTGCTGGTAACTGCTATCATGCTAGGCTCCAGGTCTAAGAATACGGATCCTCTTACACCTGTCGGCTCAGTATGGACACTACGAGGTGCTACGTGCTCCTCAAACCCTTCACACACAGCTCCTGGGGCCAGATCGCTGAAACATACACCCTTTTGTGCATCTGCTTCCTTTGTCTCCTGCAAACTCCACTCTCTGGATTGGTTGGAATGTGTAATGGACGTGTGCAGCCAGCAGGGGGTCCGGTAACCAGGACGACAGACTGGGATACGGGTCGTCTTCTGTTGTCTTCTTTCTTTTTTTTGCCACTTTTTTATTGTACTTAATTATATCCAACCCAGACTATATCTTTAGCCTTAACATGTTGCACACTTCTGTCTTTTGCACAATCTGAGTGAGTCTATCTGTGCCAAATGTGAGATGTACATTTCTCCTTCTTGTCATGAACACTTCAGGACAGTAGAATAAACTAGCTTGTATCGACCACTCCCACTGAGCACAAACTCGGGTCCTTTGGGTTGGTTTGTGGTGTGTCTAAACAACTGCACTGAACCCGCCTCAGGATCTGGTCTTTTGCCGAGGCATCAGAGTGAACACTGCAAACAAATAAAGGGCAATTTTGTCATAATGACGACATCCTAATGATCCTAGTGATGTCGGAGGATTAGATTGTTTTTATTTTCTATACAGAATGCAGTTGATAAACCTTTATTAAGAATAACGTTACATTATTAATAAAGGTGGTAATGTGCCTTGTGATTGATTCAAATGAAAAAGGTTTGCCACAACAAAAGGTTGAGGAAGGCTGAATTCATTTGGCAAATGTTATTGATCAACAAATTAGCAAATAAACACTTAGCTATTGCTAAACACTGCACTGGCTTTGGCCAATGAGAAGAACGTTTGCTGAACACAGTGTTGCTGTGACCCTCAAGACTAGAGCAGATTATTGTCTTGATGTAAGTCTGTATATAAAAAAAAAACTTCAACCACAGTTTCCTCTATTTTAACCTGAATATCAGTAATATTGTTTTTTTATGTTCTGTAATGATGTTGTTCATATTTCTTTTTATCAGGTCAAACGATCTTAAATCTCAATATTAACCACAATAGCTTTATCCTAAAACATGTTACACTATGTAATAGTGCCGTCCTGAGCAGGACAATCGAGGTGAGAGCAGATGCAGGCCCCAGCAGACTCTCCGGTTCCTTGTTTTCTAAACACTTGTAATAACAGTCATGGATAATACATGACAGTCTTCCACTGAGGAGCAGGATTACATTACTGACCACAGACTTTCTCTACAGTCGGAGATGTTACTACAGCACCAGTCCAACCCCTGTCTGCGCAACAAGGCCAAGAAGACGCCCCTGGACCTGGCCTGCGAGTTCGGACGCTTAAAGGTAAAGCAATTCAATTCAATTTATTCTCGTATTGCCCTAAATCACAACAGCATCATCTCTTAACAAAGGACTTAACAAAACCGTTGAAATCACCAACACAGATCAGAGAATCAGTTCAAACACAGAGAATATAGAAGACATATGTATTGGTCCATAGGGAGAGACCAATGTCCATGAATGTTGATAAATATTGACGCTTTAACATTCTACAAACATTTTGTTGAATGTTAAAGCGTCAAGGATCATTTCCACAGTCCAACAGAGAGAGAGGGATCAGCTCCACACGTAGGGGCGGGCTGTAGATCCAGGACTTAAGCTACAGAATGGGGACCAAGATCACACAGTGGTTGTAGAACGAGGACAGGTGCAGGACTGAAGCAGCTCCCAGTCGGGGAGGCGGGGAGGCGGGTCGGGCAGGGCTGTCTGCAGTGGGCAATGGGCACCAGACTGTCCACAGCCTTGATCCCAGTCTGCATGGTCAGACTGGGATCAAGGCTCAAGCACAGTCCAGACCATAGACTGTCCAAAGGTGAGGACTGAGGACTGAGTAGGGATAGGTGAAACAGACTTTTTTTTTTACAATATTTACAATATTTACATTCCTTAGTTTACACAGTGTGTGTGTGTGTGCCTGTGTGTGTGTGTGCTTGCAATTCCAGGTGGCCCAGCTGTTGCTCAGCAGTAACATGGTGACAGCTCTACTCGAGGGAGAAGGCGGCCATGACAGTTTAGAGCCCCCCGCTACCACCCCTCTCCACCTGGCGGCCCGCAACGGACACAAGGACGTCATCAAGTAAGCCCCGCCCCCTTCCCCCGCAAGATCAGTGCTATGGAAAACTATACTTACTAACTCAGTAAAAGCAAAGAAACATTTTGGATCATTTCTATATATAAAAGTTGTTATTGCTGTGGGTCTGTGTCTTTACCGTTTATGACTATTACAACACAGTGCAGACATAGCAGCAAATCTCTGTCATTGGAGCCAAAATGCCTTTACCATTGTCCATCGAGGGGAGTTGGAAAGAGTTGGAAATAATGAAACACCTGGATAGGGCAATATTGACAAAAAGATAAAATAAAAAAACCTCTGCTCCCTCGGCTCTCCTGGTCTTTTTCTCCTCTCCTTCTCTTCTCTCCTCTGCTCTCCTGCTCATTCCTCTCTCCTCTCCTCTTCTCCTTCTGCTCCTCTGCACCCTCTGCTCTCCTGCTCTGTTCTTATCTCCTCTGCTCCCTCTGCTCTCTTGCTCTTTTCTCCTCTCCTCTTCTCTCCTCCTCTGCTCCCTCTGCTCTCCCCCTCTTCTCTCCTTTGCTCTCCTCCCCTCCTCTGCACCTTCTGCTCTCCTGCTCTTTTCTCCTTTGCTCTCCTCTCCTCCTCTGCTCCCTCTGCTCTCCTTCTCTTCTCGCCTCCCTCCTCTCCTCTGCTCTCCTCCTCTACTTCCAAGAGGTTACAGTACTGAAAATATGACTTAACACAAACTGCAATCTTCTTTTTGCTGATTTGAAGCTTGCACAAACTGTGGGACTTTAAAGAACCCTGCGGTCTCTTTGAGGGATTTCCGTCACTTCAAAACACGGAACATTCTCAAACAAACTTTAGAAGACAGAGGATTGGCGCGTACTAAAATGCTTTCTGATTTAGAATAGTTAATGCAGTCACATTTTGGGTGAGATGCTGCATTTGTAAATCAATGCTATGTAAATTTGGCCTAGTTTAGTCTCCGGTTTGGCTTGTGCCGGGCGCTGGAGGCGACATATTGATCCTAACTGTTCAGTGACTGTGGCCAGCTGACAGTAAAAGAGGAAATGATAGAACTACACTGTTTCATGAGTTTTAAAGATTATGGACCCTGGGCTTTTACGAACTTATGACATTGTTCTAATATTACTGTAGATGTTTTGCTGTTTAGACATTCTGCATCCTCCACCAAATTAAGTAAATGACAAAATATGTTGAGGTCTGGGATGGGGTCACAGGCTTTAAGACTGTAAACGTAGTGAATCCTACCTCTCTGCCATTGCAACTAATGTGCCACCCCTTTCGTCTTCTGCGGGCAGTTGGGAGAGAAAATTGACAAAAAAAGTTGAAAAAACACATTTGTGCATGCGTTAGCCGGCACTAGCCCCATTCATTTGATGAGTGCCTTCAAAAGTCCATAGCGGCTAAACTAGAATGGTCAAAACAAAAAAACTCCCCTCAGCATTGACAGCATCTGGAACATTATAGAACGGGCAACTCCCCAAAGACCAGCTGGGAAGCGAGCCTAGAGTTTCTGGTCCCATCACTGTCTCCATGAAACAAACAGAGAGGAATGAAATAGCCAAGTACAGAGGTCAGGACAACATGGCCTCGGATTTGCTTGGGCCAATATTGATCCCAGCCTCTGAACACTTGGCTGCAAACCGCCCAGTGCTAGTCAATTCAATGTATACTTGTATTGCCCTAAATTACAACAGCAGATATCTCAGAGGACTTAACAAAACCATTGAAATCACCAACACAGATCAGAGAATCAACAGTTAAAACACATAAAGAATATAGAACACATATGTATTGGTCCGTAGGGAGAGACCAATGTCCATGAATGTTGTAGAATGTTAAAGTGTCCTGGATCATCACCACAGCCCTTCTTAAAAGACACTAACTATCCAACAGACTCCTGCATCAGAGGAAAAACTCATAAGAAAACCCAGAGGGAAAAAAGTGAGAAACCTCAGGGGGTTCCATATTGAGAGAGGGATCCGCTCCACACGGACTGACGGGCTGTAGATCCAGGACTCAGACTGTAGAACGAGGACCAGGGCCACGCAGTGTCCGCAGAATGTGGACAGGTCCGGTGCAGGACTGAAGCCCAGGCGGGTCGGGCAGGGCTTGTGTAGATGGAGGAGGCCAGGTTCAGAGGTCCCGTCGTCGCGCCATGAAACAGACAATGGGACAACGGGTGAATAGCAATGAACAGACTACAGTCAAAATCCTAATAATGCAGACAGATAAAGTAGGAAGGAGGAGAGGATAGTGTTCAAGTTACCATACTTCTCCCAGCAGATTGACTCCCTATGCAACTTGACTGACAGTTTGAGTGCCTGGTTTGTGTTGAGCCATTGACTAGAGAAATTCCCCCCAAAACATGTAATCTTTTCCCAATTCAACCTTGTTAATTGTTTTGTTTAAAGACCAAACCACATCTTTTCATTAACAGAGGACTTGTCATATTAAAACGAGTTTGAAAAGAGAGAATGCAAACAGAACGAGGAGGGCCACATGTCTTTGCTGGATAATAATGTGGATGAATCGAAAACAATTCCAGATCTGAATGTGATGAGGCACAATGTTGTAACTGATTAAAAACTCCCAAAATAGGAGTTTGCAGAAGCTGTCAAATCTCACTGCAGTGAACTTTTGCTGCATGTTTTCATCCTTGCACCACCCTTATGTACTAATTATAAATGTTGGGAAAGGCTGTAAACAGGATTTATTGAGGAGGGCGACGTGCATTCTAAGTTAATTCGTCCCAGCAGTGTTTACTCCTCCTAATTGTGTTGAAAGTTGATATGGGGCCAGGGGAGGGGCGTGGTGCGTGGGCCGGGGTAATGACACGTTCCACACAGACTATCCGTGAATGCATGATTGTGCCTGCTGAGTGGATCCACACTGGGGCTGATGTTCCTGCTGTGGGTCTCCAATCTGGGCTTTGATAAACAAAAACAATAATTCCATGGTGATAGTTTGCTTCCTGGTTTATCTGTATCAGCAGTTAACATCACACAGGAAGAAGAGTGCGGCCCTATTAGCAGCCAGTGTCTTCTCCATTGGGAGTCAACAGTTTGTGTATTTAACAATTGAAAGTTGACAAATTCTTACAGTGTTACAGCAGGAAGGGACTCGGAGTCTAACAAAGAGATCTATTACAGAGAGACATCAAAGATTACTTTCTAAAACATTTTGTACACCCCTTTATCACAACAGCAGTCATTGTAGAGGAGTTAGAAGTTGGCACTCTCGCACTCTCGCGTCTCAGCAAGAAGGTCCTGGGTTCAAATCCCGGTCGAAAGAGGGAATTGGAGTTTGCTGTCTGCTCCGGTTTCCTCTGGGTGCTCCGGTTTCCCTTACCACTAAAAACATGCACAATAGGTCTGGCATACGCCTTCTGTATATGACAACCTGCTCCCATCTCTGTGTGAACGGAGAGACAAATGCCCACAACAAACGTAAAGCGCTTTGTGACTCAGGGCCGAGGAAAGGCGTTATAAAGATTACTTAGTGACTTACTTATGAGGTAGGTTTCCTCCGGGTGCTCCGGTTTCCCCTACCACTAAAAACATGTATAATAGGTATGAATGTAAATGAGAGAGTGAATGGATGGTGTTGATTGGGGGCTGATGGTCCAGTGTGTTCGGTGACTCGCTTCCGTCATCACAGTGGGTGAAATGATTGGAACAATATCTGAACTTTGAACATTGTAAAGCCCTTTGGGTGACCTTGGTCTGTAAAATGCGCTATATAAATAAACATTCCTTACTCACTTACTTCGCAGATCAGCGAAACAAATAGTTCAAACACCAAAAATGCAATAATATCAAACGCATAGAAGCCATTGGTCCATGAGCGGGAGGACCACTGTCCATAAACGTCCTTAAATGTCCCGGATGTTGGGGAGGCCCATGTAAGACCCACACTGGGCCTCATGTTCCTGCGTGGGTTAGGATACGACTCAAATGACTGGGTTCTGTTTTCCCGCAGGCTTCTGCTCCAAGCCGGGATCGACATAAATCGAAGCACCAAAGCAGGAACGTCGCTGCATGAGTCCGCCCTCTACGGGAAGACGGAGGTGGTACGCCTGCTGCTGGATGTGAGTGCAACATGTGGGCGGTCTGTACGCGCACCGCAGCTTTGTTTCAGAGGGTTTGTGGGGAAAGCAGCCCTTACAACTGGACAGAGAAGTGGTTCCCAGCCATGTGACCTTGTGGATGTTTGTGTGTGTGTATGTGTGTGTAGGCTGGCATCAACGTCAACGTGCGCAACACCTACAACCAAACAGCCCTGGACATCGTCAACCAGTTCACCACAACCAGCGCCAGTCGAGAGATCAAGCAGCTGCTGCGGGGTTAGTGCACACACACACACACTGAAGCAATCCTAAGTCAATTCTCTTCTTGCAGTTGCTAAATGGAGCAGTCCCATGTTTGAGACTGCTTCATTTAGGCCACAGGTGTCAAAGTCAAGGCCTGGGGGCCAGATCCGGCCCGCGAGACCATTTCCAGTGGCCCCTGAGACAAATTTAAATGACTATATTAAATAGCAGCCTCGATAGTAATAGGCGACAATGGCATGTTATCCATTACTAATTTTGCTCAAGAAAATTATTTAATTCCATAAGAAATGTTAAGCCAACATGTAATGGGAAGTTAGTATTCGGCACGGTGGCTGAGTGGATAGCACTCTCGCCTCTCAGCAAGAAGGTCCTGGGTTCGAATCCCGGCCGGACCAGGGCCTTTCTGAGTGGAGTTTGCATGTTCTCCCCGTGTCTGCGTAGGTTTCCTCCGGGTACTCCGGTTTCCCCTACCACTAAAAATATGTCCAATAGTTCTGGCATGCGCCTCCTGTACTGGCGACCCCGCTCCCATCTCTGTGTGGAGTGAGAGACAAATGCCCATAATTAACAATTGTAAACCGCTTTGAGACTCAGATCTGCAGTGAAAAGGCGGTATATAAATACAAACTTACTTACTTACTTACTTACTTACTATTCTTATGGTTTTTTTTTACGAGTCTTCAATTACATTTCTTCTCAAAGGTATGAATGAATTTCCCCGATTTTCTTAGGAAAGAACCACCCTCTCCACTTTTTGAACAAATCTCTCTGGTCTTATTTGACGAGCACAAATCACCAGAATGATGAACAGTTGGGAGGACCAATAGTCTTGATGATCCACCCGAAAATCTTCCCTCACCCTTATACCTTCAATATTTGGTCCAGTTTTGGTTCAGTCCACAGAAACTGAACTCAGTCGATCAGAAAACGATGTTAACTAATGTGAAACAAGTCATTTATATAGATACCTTCATATTATTAAAAAAGTATAATAAATGAAACCCACTTCGTCTTTTGGCCCCTGATCAGCCCTTTAATTTTTTTTCGGCCCTCAACCAAAATGAGTTTGACACCCCTGATTTAGGCCAATCACAGAACGGAAAAGCACCAATAAAATCCAAACCACCGTGAAAATGTTGTATGTTTTACGTTTACAAACCACTGCCGAACCCTTATAATTTATTTCAAATAGAGCTATTTAAATCTGTGCGCGATGAATAAGGTGTGACAAATCAGTCCATTTGAAATGACTGGGTTTAACCATTTCCTCTGCGGTTATGATGCCATGTATCCATCCATCCATCCATGTATTTTCTTCCTCTTTATCCATTTCTGGGTTGGGAGGGTGGCAGTCAGAGCTGCACCCAGTTCACAGAGCACCAGCCCCTCACTGATCCTCCTGCAGGTGGTGAGTTCACAGGGGCCATGTAAGCACATAAAAAAGATGCTGCTGAGACACGACCAGCAGATGCATGTAAGAGCACAGAGGAAAGCAGATTTTGTTGAACTGGCCCAGGAATTACAGACAGATTAATTTCTTAACACAGATTAGACTGACTTTTAACACCACAGTAACCAGGACCGATTCTCCCTCCACCACAATGTGAAACTACGAGCCCTTTGGGATGTTGTGATGTCACATGATCTGATTCTGTAGTGGACTGTGAAGTGCTGACATTGTGCTTTGTGTTGTGCAGAGGCGTCCAGCTCCATGCAGGTGCGAGCGGTGAAGGACTACTGGAACCTGCACGATCCCACGGCCCTCAACCTCCGAGCGGGGGACATTGTCATGGTACACCCTCCTAACACTTCCAGAAATCTGGTTTAATATTTGACTTAGCATCATAGACATATACAGACTAGAGTTTCGCTTTTCAGCCCGAGCCCGAGCATCCCTGTTTTTCCTGTTGAATTTACATTGCACAAAGTAGCTTTTTTTCATTGATTGTTCTAGCTTTAGTTAGAGAGTGATCTTTCTCTTTCATTCTCAATAGGCAGAGAAAAAGAAAACTCCCTGGTCCACATCTATGACAAGCTAACACTGTGAAAGAAATGTAAGGAAAATGGCTCCAGCAAGCTTACGTTCAAAATCCGCCTCGTCTATGCCGTCATCAGCCATCAGTTTGTCCACAGTCTATTCTCAGCACTGGACTCTGGATCTGGATTTGCAAATGTCATGTCAGGGGAAAAAAATGCTTTATCAGGTGTGAGAGAAAATTGTCAAACTTGCACAAATCCCTTTAAAACAACTCTGAGTGTGTGAATAATTGTAAAAAAACAAGACATCTAGTTCTTTACATCAGAGGTTTTGTTCCTTCCCTAACCACATTTATAAATCTTAAAACCTTGAATATTTTACAATTCACTCCATGATCATTACTGGAGGCAGATATATATAACTTGTTTGAGCTGAGAACGAGGAGCCAGGATATCTGCTATGTTTTGAATGTGCGAGAAGGATTAGGCAAACCTGATTTCCCCTGGTGCCCTGCTCCGACAGAATGCAGATTTTGCTCCACATTCTTAGACCGGAGGGAGGGGAGAGGACTGATGAGCAGGGTGCCGTACAGACAGCCAAGGAAAAAAACTTGCGGAAAATGTGTTTGTGGGCATCTCTGTCTTTGTTTTTGAACTCACCAGACAGCTGGATGCACTGTGTGTGTTTTTTGAGGTTGTAGAAGTAGGAAATAATGTACTTTTAAGATACAGATCCAAGCAATAAATGAATAAAAAGGATTACATTGGAATTATACTGTATGCCCACCTCCCTCCCCAAACTCCACACAGAACCTTTTGATGGTCCCTCGCACTCGTTTTAAAACCAGTCGAGACAGATCCTTCCAGGCTGATGCTCCTTGTCTTTGGAATGAGCTGATGTTTTTTCATTAAAAAATTTTCCTTTCTATCTATTCCTTGTAAGCTTCATGACATGATATACTTACATTATACATTGTTAGAGTCAGTGGATAATTTTAAGTCACAAATTAAGACTTATTTGTTCAGGCAGCTTTCTCGCCTCACTGTACTTAGGCCCATCTGAAGTGTGTTTACTGTTCTGTATTTGTTTCTGGAACGGACTGTATGTGAACTATTTTAACTATGTGTTTTGATTGTGAGGTGCTTTGTGATCCTGGTCTGTGAAAGGGGCTATATGAATAAACTTTACTCACTTACTTACTTACTTACTTACTTAGTTATAAGGGACATTTTCGTATAGTCCATCCCTGAGGCTCACTCTCAGGTGTTCTTTAAAATCTCCCAATGGTCTCACTAGACACAGTCCACCATATTCTTCATCCTGGTGGTGAGTGACCTGCCCCGTGGCTCAGACCTAGCCTGGTCGTACCACACCATAGTACAAAATAAATTTCGTACTAATGTCTAGAGGTGCTCTATTGGGCTCCGTTAACAGGTGGGAGGGGTTAACTCCTTTTGCAGATTGAAACGATTGGATCTGAGTTTACCATGACGTATGTAATGCGGCCGAGTGAGTCGTTAGCATTTAGCATTTAGCCTAGCCATCTCCTTTGCCGCTAACGAAGCGGGGAGTAACGCCACAATCTTTTGCCAGAATTACATTTGCTAAACATTCTTCTTGCTCCGGCTTCAATTTCTTGATAGTAAAGTGTTCCGGTCTGGTTCTATCGCATTCTTCGGCATTGCCAAACTACTACCAGCCCATTTGGGGCAAACTCTTGACGTCACCCACAACTAGCTACAACACCCGCCTCCCGCGCTCTCTGATTGGTTGGATGGAATTCAACCGATTGTAATCGCTAACACAGGGACCAGACCCAGACGTTACATGCAGGAAATGATGATTGAGCGGAGTGTACGGATGGATAAGGCCAGGCTAGGACAGTCCTGCCTCGTGGCATCCCTGGGCATCCCGTGGGCATCCCTCAGACCTGCCCTGTGGCTCAGACCTGCCCTGTCCTTTCTCTGGCCTCCTCCTTTGTGGTTCAGCCGTGTTTGCAGACGTGTGTTTGCAGACGTGTGTTTGCAGACGTGTGTGTTCTCCGAGAGTCACTGGGACTCCTCTCTTGCCTGAACTCGTCCCTCATACTGTTTTTGTTTTCTGCGGGCGTTTTGTTTCGCTTGCAGTGACTTCTCAGCTCTTTGGCTCAGCTCCAGGAGCTCAGAAACATGCCCAGAGGAGTGTTCAAGATCAACAAGGCATACTTTCCACTGTAGAATCACCATTGTACTATTTACACATCACCACCAGAGACAACCCAATACTAAACATGTTACGGACTTTACTGGAATGTTCCGGAGCATACCACTTCAGGGTGACTCTTCACTTTGGCCTTTACGCTCGATGTTGATTATGTTATATCATTATTTAATTAGAACATTTAGGGATAGAAAGCAAGTGAAGAGTTTATATGAAAAAACAGATATCTCAGTTTTGAAATTTTAAAAACTTACGATCTTCAACGTGTTCTGTTAATGGCAGTAGAATTGAAAGAATTCGCTCCAGAAGGGGTGAAACCTTGATTTTTATGGCACTCATAGATCTGGCTTTCCACAAAACTACTTGATAAAGAGAAAAGTGTTCGCTTGTCCGTTATGTTTCCATGCCACTTATCTGTTTTTGCATATAAACTGTTCAAGTATTCTTTTAGTTATAAATGCATTTCACAAACCAAGGTCCCACCAATCTTTCTCCATTCTCTCTACACACAGTTATGACGGAAGCAAGACGCCAAATAATCTGTCACATTGAAGCCTCTGACCGTCACCGTCCGTTTTTGTTTTTTGTCTTTTGTTTTAAAGAAGAAATTAGCACATAATGTGCCGTGTCTATCTGGTTTGAGACCAGTCCCGGCTCCAAAAGGTCCATGAGCACATGTGCTGACATGCTGCAATATCACTCCGGGCGGTGGCGGTGTACCCGGAAAGAGAATTACCTAATGCTTTTGTATGGCGTCTTCTTTCTTCTCAAAAACGTCTTTACAGGGTGGTCCAAAAGTCGCTCTTGGCCCAACGCTACAGATGTGTGTCAATGCTGAGGGGAGTATTTATTTTTGGACCAGTCTAGTTTAGCTTCTGTGGACTTAAGAATTCACTTGTTAAATTAATGGGGCTTGTGACGGCTAACGCATACACAATTGCGTTTTTTCACATTTTCCTGCCCTACGGCCATTTTGAAAAAGCCCATAGAAGGGAAAAGTGGTGGCACGATCGTTTCAACGACGGAGATAGACCTGACTACATCCGTTATTATTATTATTCTATGTTTGAGAAAGGAGAATTTATTGAAGGAGCAGGAGAAGTGTTTGTGTCTGAAGTTCTTGATCTTAGTGTGTATTGAGTGTGCTTTACAACTATGGTTTAGTGCAGTGATCATTGTGATTGGCATGTGTGGCGCTTGTGTTGCCAGGTCCTGGAGCAGCCCTCGGACGGCCGCTGGAAAGGCCACATCCATGACCCTCAGCGTGGGACAGACCGAGTGGGCTTCTTCCCCCCCTCTGTGGTGGAGGTGCTGAGGTCCCGAGGGACAGGTGCCGCCACATTCAAGTTTTGGAGATAGAAATGTACACATAACACCTGGGATTGCAATTACCTGCATATATTTTATTTCAAAAACAATTTATGATGCATTCTTTATGTGGTAGAAGTAGGAAGAAAACAGCTCTGTCCATGCCGCCTTCAGGCCTTTTCATTGTGGAGATTTTTTATTTTTTACCCGGGTAGAAATGGTGCGTCTACCCGAGTGTAATTTGACTCGTTTTGTTTTTCACCACAGGGAAGACGGGTCAAAATAAGAGGGGACTGTATACGACTGTGGCACAACAGATAGAGTTTAGCTACAAAAGTTACTGCTGTTCATCAATACACACTGTTCTCATCCAAAATAAAAAAAATAAAAAAAATTTCAGGTTCGGTTTTTTGATGAGGAAATAATGTTGGAATGGGCCAAATCTCTGACATGTAAGTTTTCTATGTAGAGTTTTTTTGAACACTCTTACACGCTATCAACAATGTAACAGTGGTGATAAACTTCTACTGTCGCCTCAGCTGCCCGGGGGCAACACTGAACTGATGTGAGTCCCAGTCTGTGCTAATCGGCCCCTCTGACCACCACCAACCGTTCACCCTGACACAAGACACCAGAACTCATTCTAAAACAACTGAGGGGGGAGATCAATAAGTATAAAGTATAACTCTCTCGTGTAAGGACACAACGCATACACAGCTTTAAACCAGGCTCTGCCCGCTTAGCTTCTGGGGTCTGGGCAGGGGCTGGCTTTCACATGCTAGTGATGGCCAAATTGAAAGTTCACACTAGAAAAAAATATATGAAAATAAGTAAAAACTGTTTTAAAATTATAAAAAGTGACCTGCGATAGAACATACTCAAGATTATATTATAATGAATACCATCCCCAAATGTATTCTAGAAAAAACAACATATTTCAAAAAATTTAATGAAACTGTATTCAAAGCCAAACAATAAAAAGTTGTCTAAGCCAAGCTTAATTGATTTTTACCTCCAAGTTATATTTGTATTCAAGCAAACAAAAAACTAAGCCTAATTGATGTTATATTTAGCCAAATCTTACCAAGATTTTACAGAAAGTACAACATTTTGTTTTGCGTGACTTCCAGTGATCTCCCCAGGTTCTGTTTTGGATCCGCCCATCACCGTTTTAAACCAAATCAAAAGTGTGAAAAGCAGGATTGGTTTTGTTCCCACTTCTCGTTTTCATGTTTTTACTCCAAACTCAGTCCTGTCTTTGCGGTCCTCGGGTTTTGGGCGATGGCGGCTTATGCTCAGAGCTGACACTTCAATTGGCCCCGGCTAATCCTATTAGAGTGCGGGTGTTTGCTGAGGCTGAGGCTGACGACGGGGACTGGGATCCGAGTGTGGCTCTGAGCTCTTGGTATTCAGCAGGATTAAAGCAACACTGCAGGCCTCCCCGCCCTCAGGACCAGTGTCAAACATGCCTTTTACAGGACACACATTACGCACAGTCATTGTTACAACATTGTTCCTCATCAAATACTAATAATACTAATAATAATAATGGAGTCGTGTTAGCTCCATCCATGCTGATCAGTCACAAACGCGTGTCCAACCTCTTCTGTCTAAATGCTCCTTTTGCAACAGGCGGGCAGCGAAGTTTATAAAGGGCAGGAGGACAACGTTATGAAGTAGGGATGCACCGTTACCATTATTTTCAAAACCTTAAAGTGATAGTCTGGAACTCTAAATGAATTACAAATTTTAGGAAATGTGTTAAATTGACCTCCTGGCCTTAAAGCTGCACTAACTGACTTTGGGATTTTGAAGCAGCAGACTCGCTGGCCTCTCTCTTTCTGCTCCCCTCCCCGCACCCACGAAGCTATCGCCCCCCACACACACTCACTGTTGGGACGAAGCTAGTGTCTCCCAATATGGATAATACATGGACATGGATTTGCACGTGGATGGCGTGACCATAGAACGATAGAACCGGGAAGCGCGGAGGAACGAGACTTTCTTTTGGATGGCTGTCTTGCTGTGTAAGCAGTAACCGGTGATGAAGAGACGAAGCTTCAGGTTAGCTCCGCCGCTTGTTGTGCTAACTCAGCCGTCTATGCTAACGGAGACCTGTAGATTTCTCACAAAAGTGGGGGCTAGTGGTCCGCTGTGATTGGTCACAATCCGCGACCCGAAACACATTCTCTTCCTTGTTTCATCAAAACTCGATCTAAAATATAATGTCACGCCAGCACAAATCTGCGCTACTTTTTCGTCAAAAGGACGTATATCCCAATGCCCTACACGGACATGGATAGCATTTTCGTAATGAATACAAAAATAAAGTCAGTTAGTGCAGCTTTAAATGTTGATATAAAATAAGTCATTTTATTAATTCTAATATCACGGGTAAGTCCCGCCTTCCCTTCTCTTAGCTATAGCTCAGAATCCACGGTGCCGTCGAGGTTAACCAATCGAGTCATGCCAAGGGCTGTCAATCATCGGCGCTGATGCTCGCAGCTGCTCATGCTCAGTTGTTTGTTTTCACGGAGCCTCCGAATCAAGCCTCTATTAGGCTCTGGAACTACATGAAAACTGAACAAAGAATTCTGAACATCCGCGCTGAACCTATATCCATAATCATTTATATACTGAACCTATATCCATAATCAGATCCTCTGCAGATGTGTCCCTTACCGTGATCGCTTTTTTCGTGCATTAAAACATTATTTTTGTCATGAAATTGTTAACAAATAATTCTGAAAACATCCGTGCATGTGTATTAATAATGTATATATATAATGTGTTCTCAGGTTAACATTTAAATGTGTTACGGAAACGTAGGTGTAGACCAATCAGAAAGGAAGGGGGAGGGAGCTTGGGTCGTTTTTTTTCAAATCAAGTACCTCTCTCTCTTTTTTCTGACAAACTCCAGACAATTTCATTTGAGTACTTTCCGATACCGAATACCAATACGAGTGCTGCATTGTGTTACGCTAATGTAAATAGAAAATGTGGGTATCGGTTGCCCAGATCGAGTCCGAGGGTATGAGTACAAGTATGATTTCAAGCCTATGGTATCGGTATTGGTGCATCCCTATTATGAAGTGATCATACATGGAAAACGTACGTAAAATGTATGTATAAGTATTTTTAAACATCACAGTTGCTCCCGATTAACCAGTATGCTTTGAGTGACTCTGAAATGTGTGATAGTTACTTGTGGAGTGGGATTGATTTTACAGAATTTCTATGTATGTTTCTGATTTTTATATTTTCCTGTACTTTCTTAAGTGAAACATGAAACTGTCCAGGGACTATAGGACTACATCTTTTCTGTCATAGACTAATGTCAGTTGTGCTTTGTCCATAATCAAAACAAAACAAAACAAAAATCTTCGAACTATGGCGTCATGGACAGAGCGGCTTCTTCTGCCTCTAAATTGAACGTTCGTAACAGCTGTGTGCCTTCATTCAGTTCTCATCTCATCAGGATCACGTGTCAGGGCCAAAATAAACAAAGAAATAAAACATGTTGTAATTGGCTTGAACAGTGGTTGTAATTCCCAATGTTGTTGATAGAAAGACCCTGAATCCCTCCATTTCTTCCACTATATCCGTTGCTGGGTTGCAGAGGCAGCAGTCTGAGGCTTAGAAGGTTTGTCAGAGGTAACGCAGCATACCTCTAACATGTCAGTCAATAAAGCTGTATCCTCTTATTTACATCTGTCATATTAAAAGAGCCTTCTATGTCTTAAACATAAAGAAGACATAAGGAACTTTCAATGCTTATGAGAGCAGTCTGAGCAGAGACGACTTATACTCCCTTCTCCAGTTCATCCGGGAGCACCCAGCGGACTTCCCAGGCCAGCTGAGAGATATAGTGGTCCCTCCAGCGGGTCCTGGGTCTTCCCCGGGGACTCCTTCTAGTGGGGACATGCCCCGAGAACACACAGAACAAGACAGTCCCAAAACACAGACTTAAGACAATCAGGACAGATCTCATCCACTCCCGGGTCCTTGCCTTGAGGAGGCCGCTAACATCAGTGACTTCAGTCATGGAGACGCTGGAGGTTTCTGTCCCAAGGTCTTCAGCCTCTGCCTCCAAAGTGAAGTACGTAATGGAGATTGAGCAAAATCTCAAGGTATTCCGTATTCCCAGTTCTGAGTCTTTGCCTCTGCAACCCCCCAGGCAAGGATACAGTGGAACCCTGAAACTTTTTGTCTGTAACACTAGTATTTTTTGTTTAGCTTGTAATGAGGTTACAATAGTAACCAGACAGTTGCACCTCGTCCTCCCACACATGCATGCTCACCAGCTCTGTGCTCCACTCATGCATGTGTTCAGGGGCCACACTGTCCCGTCACGCCTCCCTGCCCTCCCCGAGAGCCCCCCAGCCCGAGCAGCTGTACCCAGGCGCATGTGACCCATCAGGTATACACCCATCTCTCACCATCTGTAACTTGTTCATGTTTGAAGCAAATATCTTGTAGCAACCTCAAAATGCCAATCTGGAGCGGCCTGTCCCTTCAGGCTTGTAAATGTGTGCTGAAAATTTTACTGTGGTCGGTTCTTATTGGAACTCATTTTATTTACAAAAACATCAGGATAATGCAGACATGAGGGTGACATAAGCTGCTGCATTATTATACATCTCCTTAATATGGACAAAAAGTTGACGTGGCAGCACAGGTAAATAAACTGTACAGTATTATGAAGTTCTTGGAGACAAGCAGGAGACTTTTTCCCTTTTACACCGCGCCAATGCGATGTCGATTGCTTAATTTGGTCAAGTCCCATACTTTTGCATGCTTAACATAAGAATGCCAGCAGTGCGTGTGTAGCTGTCCATGCACACATCCCTGTCCTGTGCGTAGGTGGTCGTCTGTGTGCTAGTCCCCCCCAGGACGTGTGGCTGCTCAGGAGGGCTCCCTCTGGTAAGCCCGTGTGGCCCCCTCCTCCTCCCCTCCAGACCCCATGGACCCTTTGACCAGCTCCAGACCCTTACCCAACTACACTAAAGCCGCAAGCCTAACGCAGCAGAGGATGAGCATGGCGAGTTCTAGATGAGTCTGACAAATGAAGGTTGCTCTCCCATCATCTGGACTTCAGCAGGTTTTCCCGAGGTTTCGTTCTTAATCCAAGGAACTTTCTCAAAAGAAAATTCTTTGTATGAAAAAACATAAAGATTCCTCACCTGAACTTTTTAAATTCTTTATCAACCTTTCCTCTCATAAAAAGACCTGGCAGAGAATGGAAAATGGTAACGAGAAAGAAAATGCTAACGCTACGCAAGCTGTTTGAAATTAGTAAGGAAGTGTATGCAATTCTAACCTTGTTATTTGTGCAAAGTTTTCAACAAGACAGCTTTAGTTTGACCTCATGTCGCACAAGACACAATGCAACAAATCATTTTAACCCTTCTAATGTTCGCTCCTTGAAGAAAGCATTGTCAATTTTGCTCTTTTGGATTGTCTAAGATGTATGGGTTTTTTAATCATAGGCCTTTGGTAAACGTGCCTAAAACCCATTGATAGATATGGCCCAATGAGGTAGATTTCTGTTCCAAGCTTCAAGTAGATAGAGTGACTCAAAAAGTGATCCACCAAACTCATTAAAGGGTAAAGAGCAGAAGAAGATTGTCCTTTATCAGTCCCACTGTGGGGAAGTTTCAGTTCAATGAATACACATCAAGGCATGCAGCGTACAATACTTCCGCGCTCCTTATGGGCAAAGTGGGTAAAGTGTCTTGCCCAAGGACACAACGACAGCATTGGGTGTCGATGGAGAAGGTCTCGCGGTGGCCTTGAACTCATGACTTTCAGGCTCAAAGGCCAATGCTCTACCAACTGAGCCACTGTCGCCCCAAAGGAAGAGTATAAGAGTAACAGTACTATACAGATACAGAGAAAGTTTTTTGGATTAAGAACAAAACGTTGGGAAAACCTGCTAATTGAAGTACCGATGATGGGTGAGCAACCTTCCTTTGTTTTGAATAATCCCTGTACGACTGAGATCTTACACAATCATTAAAGCTGCACTAACTGACTTTATTTTTGTATTAATTACTAAAATGCTATCCATGTCCATGTAGTGCATTGGGATATACGTCCTTTTGAAGAAAAAGTAGTGCAGATTTGTGCTGGCGTGACATTATATTTTAGATCGAGTTTTTATGAAACAAGGAAGAGAATGTGTTTCGGGTCGCAGATTGTGACCAATCACAGCGAACCACTGGCCCCCACTTTCGTGAGAAATCTACAGGTCTGTTAGCATAGACGGCTGAGTTAGCACAACAAGCCGAGGAGCTAACCTGAAGCTTCCTCGTCTTCGTCACCGGGTACTGCTTACACAGAGAAACAGCCATCCAAAAGTAAGTCTCGTTCCTCCGCGCTTCCCGGTTCTATCCTTCTATGGTCACGCCATCCACGTGCAAATCCATATCCATGTATTATCCATATTGAGAGACATTAGCTCCGTCCCAACAGTGAGTGTGTGTGGGGGGCGATAGCTTCGTGGGTGCGGGGAGGGGAGCAGAAAGAGAGAGGCCAGCGAGTCCGCGGCTTCAAAATCCCAAAGTCAGTTAGTGCAGCTTTAAGCTAACATTCCTCGTGCTATGGCTTAAATTTTCTTCATAGTTGGTAGCTGAACCGAATTAAGATACTTCTATCGCATTCTCGCATTTCCAAACTACAACCAGCATTCGGCGCAACTCTTGACGTCACCGACACCGACCTACAACACCCGCCTCCCCCACTCGCTGATTGGTCGGAGGGGATTCAACCGAGGAAACTGCAGCCACTAGGATCAGACCCAGACGTACATGTAGGAAATGATACAGGTGGCTAAGACCAGGCAAGGTCTGTCTTTACAAATTCGATCCAGGACAATCAATATTCAACTACCTTCATGGACTCCCACTGATGTCTGCTGTCGTTGTGTCCTTGAGTAACACACGTAACCCCACTTTGCCTGAAGCCCCTGCTGAAAGGCTCCTGTGGACTCACCACCTGCAAGAGGATCAGTGAGGGGCTGGTGCTCTGAGAATTAGATGCAGCTCTAACCACCACCCTCTGACCCAGAAATGGAGTAAGGGGAAGAAGATGGATGGATGGACATTTATTACCATATATGGACACCAATGGCTATGAGCTTTTTAACCTTGCATTTCTTGTGTGTGATTCTCTGATCTGTGTTGGGGAATAGACAGCTTTGTAAAGTCCTCAGAGATAACCACAAAAATGAATTGAATTGAATCCATGAGTGTTTCGGGTTGTATTTCTCTGACGTCTCTGCGGATTGTGCCTGTATCGTGTTGGACTCGTGTGGTCAGACTGGACTGACCACAGGGGCTCCGGGGGTTTGTCCCTGTGCTTATGGAGTGTGTGTGCAGGAGACCGCAGCAGTGTGGGCAGTGGGGAGTCGGTGGGCAGCAGTCGCAGCGCAGGCAGCGGCCAGAGCTCAGAGAGTGGAAACAAGACCAACGGAGCAGTGCGACATCATGACCCGAGCAAGGTGAGCACAGCTGTTGACAGGGGCCGGAGAAAGGGGAAGACACTATATGATCACATGGACTTCTACAACACACATGCAGTACATACCGAGAAAGTGTTTCTGGTCCTTTTGCTTTTTCAACAGATAAGTTTAAGAAATGACTCACTTAAGAGCCAAAACATGACAATAATAATACTACTGTACAGGCAAATAAGTCTTTCCACAAAAACATAATCAAATCTGAACATAACTCTTCAAAACGTTATGGGCCAAGACTGCAAGAGCGTGAACATTTTGGTGTTTAATATATTATTTACATTTAATATTATTATTCGGTCCTTTGTGTTTGTTATTATTATTTCCTGCTGTTGTGATTATGGGCTATACAAAAATACATTTAATTGAAATTATTATATAGTTACTTATTCTTTGTATACGGACTAATGGTTCAGAAACTATTCATTAATGTTTTGTACATTTCACACACAGATGATCACGTGATGACAATAAGAATATTCAGTAATTAGTCAGTGAATGAAGCTGAGGATTTCATATCGTCCACGTAAAGACTTACAGTGGAATCATGACTATGACTCAAGTGAAAGCTGTGTCACGCACGCACACACTCATGTTAATACAGCTGATAGTAAAACGCACACTGATGCTGAGAGCCGCTCTGTGTGCAGCTGGCGCCCCCCGGTGGAGAGTCGGCAGACCACACTCAGTCAGCTGGAGCAGAGAAACCAGAGGGATCAGCAGGTCAGTCCAATCCTGCCTTCACTTCAATGAAACTTTTGAGATTTTTTTCTATCAAAGCAATATGTTTTTGTTTTTTTTTTACTTTTAACTTACTTATTTTTTACTTCTTACATCTTATCTTCAATAACCGTAACAGTGAAAGTGCAGCTTTTCTTTCTTTGGGCAGGAGTTCTTCAGACTGTATAAGACTAGAGCAAACCTGGACTTCTTCTCCTTTCTACCTTTTCTAACTGTAGAGATTAAAGCTGTTTGTCATTTACAATTGTGAAGATTCAGATCCAGCAGAATACCCCACTTCTACAACTAGAGGGGGGTGTTGCTCATGGTAGTCATCTTTCCATTGGTCATGAGAGAGGCTCAGGGTCCCAGAAGGTGTCAGGTTGTGCATTGTGTGTGTGTGTGTGTGTGTGTGTGTGTGTAACCTGTGGTGTGTTGCAGGGGTCCGGGGGCAGGTGAATGGAACCCCCAAGAAGGGCTTCCTCCGACCGGAACAGATCCTGGATGGAAAAGTACAGTGTTCTCTCTCTGCATCCACACGTTCCACATTAAGCAAACCTCTGAGTGTTGTTTCTGCCCCAGGACGCCGAGGCCATCTACCAGTGGCTCTGTGAGTTCCAGCTGGAGCAGTACACCAGCAGCTTCATCGACGCGGGCTACGACGTGCCCACCATCAGCCGCATGACCCCCGAGGTGAGGGCCCCGCTGTCCGCTTCCTCAGGGTCTTGAAGGGTCGACCAATAACCCATCTGTAGTGCTCATATTCATTTGCAGTAAAAAGGAAAATCTTGATCGTGGTCCAGAAGTGGTTCTTGGTTCCAAATGCTGTCAATGCTGAGGGAGTTTGTTTTTTTTTTTTTTTGTCTAGCCGCTGTGGACTTCAGAATGCAGTCGTTAAATGAATGGGGCTCATACCGGCTAACGCATGCACAAATGCGTTTTTTCCCATTTTTCTGCCCCGCGGCCATTTTGAAAAAGCCCACAGAAGGCACAAGAGATGGCAAATTAGTTTCAACAGCGGAGATAGGCGTGTCTATTTACAGTCTATGACTCCAACACTGTTTATCTAACAAGAAAATGAGAAATAGAAAAGAATTACATAGACAGTCTGGACTGGGGAGATTACAGATATAATTTACATTTGGTTTAAATAAATACATAAACTCACAAAGCATGTGTCTCCAGGACCTGACGGCCATTGGAGTGACTAAACCAGGCCATCGCAAGAAGATCTCCCTTGAAATCAGCAAACTCAGCATCCCTGAGTGGCTGCCGGACTACACCCCGGTGAGTGGCCTTCAGGACCTGCAGGACTTCAGGACCTGCAGGACTTCAGGACCTGCATGACTTCAGGACCTGCATGACTTCAGGACCTGCAGGACTTCAGGACCTGCATGACTTCAGGACCTGCAGGACTTCAGGAGCTGAACCAAAACATCAAACTACTTCATACTTTACAGCACTCACACAATTACAGCTGCTCCCTTTTCAAACTTTTAACGCAGCAATGAATCCTCAAACTGGGAATTCACAGACAGAGCGGTTTTTACCCCTATAAAACATATTTTATTGCCTATAGTCAAGTTACATTATTGCCCGTTATTAGTTCCTTAATGAGATGGAATAGGAATTATAAAAGCAGAAGGTAAAGTCTCAATTCTCCCACGATAGTTTGGGTAGACTTTTGACATCAATAACAGAAATCAAGAGAGATATTAATCAAATAAGTAGGTCAAAGCTCTGCTGCTTTGGGCCTAAAGGGTTAACATAAAGTATTTACCACACACAGTATTGTGGAGTAACAAAATACATGGACTGGGAACCACAAAAATACTACAACTCAAAGACAGAATGTTTAGCCCATATTATTATGTAAATAAACGTAAAAGCCTTTAAGTATTCACAATACACTATTCAGATTGGACCATGTATCTGACCTAATACTGTGTGTGTGTATGTTTGTGTGTGTGTCTGTGTGCCTGTGTATGTCTGTGTGTGTGTGTGTGTGTCTGTGTGTGTGTGTGTGCCTGTGTGTGTGTCTGTGTGTGTGTATGTTTGTGTGTGTGTCTGTGTGCCTGTGTGTGTGTGTGTGTGTCTGTGTGCCTGTGTGTGTCTTTGCGTGTGTGTCTTTGCGTGTGTGTCTGCAGTCTGACCTGGGCGAGTGGCTGAGTGTGATCGGTTTGCCTCAGTACCAGAGGAGACTGTGTGAGAACGGATACGACTCCATCAGCATCGTCAAAGACATCACATGGGAGGACCTCCAGGAGATCGGCTTCACCAAACTCGGTCTGGATCTCTTCCTCACAACACTCCCCCCCCCTTCCTGGTCACAGCTCTCTTGTCAATCACAGCCCACAAAAATAAAACAGACAGTTGTCATTGCTGCTTGAAGCAATAGTTTACACACCAGAACTTCTCATTCCACCCTTGTTTACAAACTAAGATAATTGTATAAACTGCTGAACCTGAGCCACTGAATTATCTCAGTAGTCGTGGCGGTCAACTGATGTAATTCAATTTCTAGACGTCTCCAGAATACTCCAAACTTGCAACGGGGCTTGTGTGAGAGTTGGATGGGCACGTCACACAGCACTAACCCCCCCAGAGCCAATGGAGAGGCCAGGCACCAAATTCAAATGGGTGCCTCCGAAAATATAGAGAGGCACCACACAGATGGTTTTAGTCTCAAAAGTGAGATTTTATCTAATTTGCACTGCAATGTCAAATAAATGACCAGGAGAGCATATCATAATTATTGAGTTGATTTGTGGTTCAGTTTTCCTTTGATATAAGTTAAAGCTGGGGTACCTATTGCAAGCTATAACAAATAGAACAGAACATAATGAATTTCATGTCACGAGTTCCTGGCTGCTGTAAAATCTCTCTACTGAAAACTCTAGCTTTCACATGTTTGGTATGTTTCAGAAAAGTGAAAAAGAGTGACTCAAAGGGCACTTTCCTTCAAGTGCACCAACATTTTTTCAAATGAGATGAAGATAGTATGTTTTGGTCTATAGACTCAACATAAATTGTATACAGTAGACTCTTTTTGTAATTATATGTATGAAACAATAAAATGTTAGGTACCCCAGCTTTAATTTTGACTGCATGCTGTCCAACCTTCCCTGCACCTCCTCATCGTGGTGAGATTCGTTTGGGCCTTCTCCATGATATAGTTATGGAGTTTGGATGTTTCGTCCTGGACAGTGGCGCTCGCTAGTCCTCGGCCTCCTTCTTTATGACTTGCGTACAGTCTCAGGGGGGTGGATATATATACATTTATATTTATAGATATATATATATATATATATATATATATATATATATATATATATATAGCTAGATAGAAGTCACCCATTAAAATGACCTCTTTCTTGTGGTGACAGAAATATGAAAGCTCTCTCTTCTGTAGCACCTGTGTAACTGTCTGCTGCCCTCTACAGGTCACCAGAAGAAGTTAATGTTGGCCGTGAAGCGCCTGTGTGACCTGCAGCGCGCCCGTGCTCTCGCTGAGGCTGCGGGGGGGACCCTCCGCCGGAAACCCCCTGCAGCTCTGGAGCTGGTGGCCATCGAGCACGGGCCCCAATCCCACCCCCACACTAACCCCCCCTGCGACGAGCCCTGCCCGTCCCCGCGCTCGCCCCGCACTCTCACCTCATTCCAGGTGAGATTCATATGTGCCTCATATTGACTCAAATATCACATCTATTATGGTCTGCACATCAGCTGAAGTGCAGAAACTTTATCCTTGAACATTCATCTTCTTCTACATTCATATTCTCTGAATAGACGACCTCTCACATGAACGGGGGAAGTTAAATTATTCAAATACAGTAGACCAGCCATTCCCAAACTCAGTAACACCGAGGCCCCCTTAAAAATCTGACGGGTCTGCGTGGCCCCCCAAAATAATAACCAAGAAGACAACATTAAGAATAGGCTCTTCTGGTTATTTTATTTTGTGGAAATAGCCTCTGCTACAAACATTGTAATACAAAAATGATTACAGTGGATTATTCAAGTCAAATAATGAACACAAATATTTTAATATTACAAACAAAACATTATAAATTTAACATTAAATAATTATATATATATATATATATATTTTTTTTTATGACCTCTTGCGGCCCCCCTGCAGTACCCTCGCGGCCCACCAGGGGGCCGCGGACCCCACTTTGGGAGACACTGCAGTAGACGAGTGTGGGGGCCTCCAACCATTGTCAATCGGAGAGCTACTTTTATAAAACATAAATGGCAGAGAGCTTCTCCTTGGCAGTCTATATTGTAGTGTATATACCAACTACAGCCGCTTTGTGATTCTGGTCTGAGAAAGGAGGTATATAAATAAAGATTACTTACTTACTTACTTAATTATACCACTAGGGCTGGGCGATAAAACGATAACGATATATATTGCGATAGACACGTGTTTGATATCAATAGAAAACGGGTCGATAGAACGTCGATAGTTTCACTATAGGGCTGGAAAGCGGAAGTGCGAGATTTTGCGAGATTTCCACCCGTGGATACAAACAAACCACACGTGCCAGTTGTATGGTGCGGAGATCGCCGACTTCTTCCTCGTTAATGGATTATTTTGGACACATTTCGTCTCTGGGACAGAAAAACTGAGTGAGCGGTCGGAATTAGCTGTTAACTGGCCATGTGCTGACGTTTCCATATGACGGGGAGATGAGAAAGGCACAGGGCCGTGTTCAAACATACAGTCTATGGTTCAAACTCATTGTATTTTAATCCACTATCACGCATCAGAAAGAAAATATAGAAACACTATTCCTATGCAAATAAATTGATGTTGTCCCTTACAGCTATCTTTGCTGCTTTGGTTATAAGCCAATGTATATGAATGATCAGTTTTCTGATCTGTTCATCAGCTCATTCTCCACTTCACACTCACTGCAGCTTCACATTGGGCCTTTTTCCTTTTTGCTGTGCTGTCAAAAATAATATGATGTAGTTGGGTTACCTATTCATTTAATACGAATGATTGTCCGTTTTCTGTTATATTTGAACATTTGTTAAATGTTATTTAATACGTGTTAATATGTTCCTCCTTTATCTCTCAAATAGATAAATATTTGAGAGACAATATTTATCCTGTGTGACATCAAAAAAGTTTCTTATCTTAAAATACAAGCCACAATTAAAGGCTTGGCCGCGCACTATTACAGGTTAGCATTAGCTACAAGTTAGCTTGAATACATGTTCAAGTTAACTGTCTCTGAAATCAGACAAAATATTTTATCAGAACTGCATAGCTTTTCCCACAGCTTCAGTTGGTCTTTGGGAAACCTAAAGAATGAGCATGTGTCGCGTAAACTGTGATGATTACAGCCGAAAACAAAGCAGAGCATTATGCACCATTCACTTAAACCGCCTCTTCGAACAGCTGACGGTTTGTTTGTATCCGAGCAATGAACCGGAAGTGCTTCTGGGACGAGACTTTCCAGCCCTATCGACGTTCTAAACAGGAACAAAACACAGGAAGTAAAGCCGAGTCAGAAGCGCACGGCATTCTGGGGGATGTAGGCAAAGGCTTTTTGACCTATCACAGCCGACAACAAACCGCAAAACTTTCTGGAAAAGCAAAAAAACAACCGCACCATGGATCATGGATCTATTATAATAGCCATGGATCTAAAGATCGTGTTTCAGTGCCGTGTCAATGGTTAAACACGTCCGTGCGAGGAACAGCATGTGCGGCGGGAGAGGCAGTGGGTACAGAGACTCTATGCATTCGGCAAAAGCAAGAGATTAACTTAAGTTAACTTAACTTAAATTAAGTGGGGGAGACTGCTTGTGAACATTTGGCTCCAGCCTCATTCCCCCGGGACTGTAAACAAGGCATGTGTTAGCCGACATGACAAATGTATTTATTTACGTTTAAAAAAATAAATTAAAAACAATCAATATATATCATTATCGACCAATATGAATTACTTATATTGTGATATAGTTTTCAGCCATATCGCCCAGCCCTATATACCACACAGTGTGTCTACATTAATGTAATGGGTGGCGAGCAACAAGTAGTTCCTGAGCCACAGTTTGGAGACCCCTGGACTGGGATAACAAAAAGCAGACATCATAGAGTAACCTCAGATGTCAATTTCCATAGAAAACACAAACATAAATATCACAATACTTTGCCTTTGTCTTTTTAAAAAACAAAGTCATACACAATATCCCTACAGCATGTTCATCAAACACCGAGCTACTCACCTCATCTACGCTAACATTATAATTTTAGCACACACTGGTCCCTCCCCCGCACACAGCGCTCCGTTCATCAGACGGGCTGCTGCTGGTTGCTATGTGGTAACAGTAATATCGACTTTATTGTCCCATCTCTTCTTCCAGGACAGTGAGCTGAGCGCTGAGCTGCAAACTGCCATGAAGGGCGGCAACAACGGGGGCGGGGCTTCTGAGGCCTTCGCCATAAGGGGAGTGGCCTCTTCCTCTTCCAAGTCCGTGAGCGAAGAGAGTATTGGCATGCGCTCGCGAGGTTCCGGGAACTCTGCTAACTCTGCTAACTCTTGCCAAGACGTCCACGAGAACATGAACAGACTTCATGAAGTTTCCAACAGAGCTTTTTCCGACATGACGCCGCCTGTCACTCCCGGTAAAACGCAGCGTTTAGCATACCCCGCCGTGCCGCCCAAAGCCAAACACAACCTCCACCCGCCTCCATCACCGTCCTCTCCCACACCAATCCACAAGAACTTTAGCTTCATCCCTGGTCATGTCCTTTCGCGAAATTTACCCGGAGCTGTTCCAATTCTTTGTCCGCAACCGTCGGGAAGCAGTCAAAAGAAGCGCGCGCAAAGCCTGACTCGCTACGCCATGTCCGACGGAGAACCGGAGGAGGACGATGACGAGATTGCTCAGAGAAACACAGCCTCATCCGCCGTCTTGCCCTCGTATGCCACTCTGTCCAGACGAACCGCTAAGGCAATATACAACGGGGTGTCTCACGTCAGCAGGAGTCAGTCTTTCGCCGTACGAGGGAAGCGCAAAGGACCGCCGCCACCACCGCCAAAGAGATTGAGCTCGGTTACCGGAATGTCCGCTCTCGCAAACGGGGCTGAGGAGGCAACAGAGGCAGGCGTGGAAACGGAAAGCGTCGGTAGCGTACGAAGCATCGCGGCGAGATTGGAAAGCGAGAGTGGAAGTCCGTCGAGAAGACAGGATTTATCTCCCACGCAAGTTTTATCGACACAGCAAGTGTTCCAGTTCCCGGCAAGCAAACCAGTCCCTGTGCTCGGAGTAAGGGGACTGAGGAGAACTGGGAGCGAAAAGGTGGAAAGCAGTTTGAACGGGTTGTACGAACAAAAGTCGGAAAGACAATCCAAGAGTGAGTCGCCAAAAAGAGGCTCAGGTGGCCATCTTCCGTTTGCAGAGGAAGGGAATTTGACGATCAAGCAGCGACCGAGGGCAAACGTTCCTCCTTCTTCACCCGGGCCTCTGCAAACACCGACCAGTATAGAGTTCAACCTCAAAGAATCCGACACTGTGAAGAGAAGGCACAGACGAAAAGACCAAAGAGACTCGGCGGATGAGGCGTTGATGCAAAATCACGAGCACAGAAACTGTTTACGTGATGTTCAAAATGGAGTAGAGCTTCCGAGCGATGATGAATCCCAAAGACATGTCGGAGTTTTCCAAAGAGTTGGCTCGGTGGGAAAGGGCCCAAAGCCACCAGTGTCAGCCAAACCTCTGGGTCCCAGGAAGAGCTCGTTCAGCAGTAGCAGCAAGCCAAATACTCCGCAGAAAGCAGCCGCGATGGTTCCAGTGGGAGCACACACTGCCATTCCCAGGCTGACCAGTGTGCAGATCCACACCGTGTCCACAGGGGGGCATCAGAGCAGTCCCAAAGTCGTGGTGGTCAGGCCGGACCAAGCCAACACGCAGAAGCTCCATCGGATTCTGCAGTCGACAGGAACTCAAGGTACACGTGAGGACGATCACTCACCATGCATGAATCACTTTTACAACAAAGGGAAAGCTTCTATAACATCATTAATACATTGAAATATCATCAAACCTCTTCGGCTAACATAAGCTATAGGCCAGAGGTTCTTAATCCTTTCACAGAAGTAGCACTTAGCCTCGTGAGTATCACCAGATCTACTTATTTGGTCTTCCAAGTCCCGCTAGGGCTGCACACGCTGTACACAGAGTACACAGAGTACACAGAGAACTCGTCAAGTCCAATTAAATGTGATTGTTGAAGCCTCATGTAACACAGTCCTTTACGCTGCATGTTGCTAAGTAAAGCAAAAACAACAGACAAGGCAAGATGTATTTAAGACCACAGGGGAAACCCATGCATATATTAGGAATGTATATACGCAAATATGTACATGTACGTATATACTGTATATATACAGGATATATACTGTAGGCCACTCGCTCATTTTGATCATTGTGATGAAGCTGCATGTGTTACTTTGTTTTGCTTTTTTTACATGACATAAAACATGGTATGTTTTATTGCGCTTTATTTGACTTGCTGCTGCAGTTGAGTTATTTGAGTCAAAGTGGGAGACAAACGAGCAGAGTTTGTGGCATTTAAGAGTAGATTTATAGAAAACCAAAGGATTTTCAAAGAAAGGTTGAGGACAACAAGAGACACTAAAATCCCCACAGAATCAGACCTACTGTATATGAAATCTGTCAGGTTCTCTGTCAGGTTCTCTGTCAGCTGAGGTTGAGCTGCTTTAGTTTACATGGAGTTCTATGGGAAAATGTCTGGGTAGCCTGCGTGAATTTTTTCTTGTTTAGTCTGCAGTACCACGAGAATCCCTTAAGCACATGGGTCCATCAGCTCCAAGCTGTAAAGCGTCACAAGTCTCCATCTGCTCAGCGGCTCATGGAGACTGAACCTTAAAAGCAATGTCCTCTAAAGTTATTGACTTCAAATGGACTTGTCTTCAGTGTTTTCCTTTGTGCTTGTACTGTGTGTAGGTCCTCACATCAGCGTGGTCCAGAGCGTAGCGTTCGCCAGCCCTGACCCTCCTCCTCCGTACCCCAGTGCGGTGAGGTCGTGTCATACTTACAGAGCCCGGACCCCGGAGCCCCCCACCCCTGTGGCCTGTCTGGAGGTACTGGCTCAGAAACGCCTGGAGGAGACCAGCACGTCTCTGGAGGCTGCGCTCAAGGTGGTGGAGAACAAACTGGCCCAGGGCAGTAATGCAGAGAGGTAACTATAAACTGAAGGATTAGGGCTGGTTAGCACTCTCGCTTCTCAACAAGAACAGGGTTTTTCTGAGTGGAGTTTGCATGTTCTCCCTGTGTCTGCATAGGTTTCCTCCGGGTGCTCCAGGTTCCCATACCATTAAAAACATTTACAATAGGTTGAAATTATCCTAGCTCTGGTCCTGACCGGGCAGATTACCAACATCTGGAGATGGGTTCCTGGGCGCTGTTACTACGGCGACTTCTGCTCCTGACAAAAGGGGACACTAAAGTGCGCATATATATATTAATATTATATCAAATACTTCTGCTGCTTTCTAGTCTCTAGTCCCTCTAAGACAACTGAAAATGTGTGTAAACATCTGTAAATATTTAAAGACTATATTTTTAGGACCTTTGGAGCTCAAACAAAGGACTGGAATCTTTGTGTAGTAGTTTTGGCCTCATTTACTCTAATTATAAGTGGGAATATTCTGTCATGAAGTGGAGAGGAGGAGGGCTCAAAATACAGGAATGCAAACATAATAATGATTGAATGAAGAAAATTAATAATAAAAGTCCAGAGGTATAACACAAATCCAAAGAACGAGGAACAGGTCCGACATTGACAAAATAATGGACCAGCAACGAGTGGAGAGGAGCACAGGTACAGAGAGACACAGAGAGACACATCTGGGCGGGGCAGACAATCAACACAGAGGAACAGGAAGTCAAACTGAAAAATACCCACAGGGTCTAATGTCAAAATAAAACTATTGAACAAATAAAGTGGCCTACATTTGGTAAATCTAAGCTCTGCTACAGTTGGTGTCTCTAACCAACTGTTGGATATGAACACTTCCAGTCTTCTTTACTCATCAAGTCCGTTTTTTTTGACCCTGTGTTCTGTTTCGTCAGTGGAGGCAGCACGGTGAAAGCGGCTGGCAACATCCTGGACGACATCGGCAACATGTTTGATGACTTGGCTGACCAGCTGGACGCCATGTTGGAATAACCAGCTGGACGCCATGTTGGAAAAACCATCTGGAAGCCACGTTGGAACAACTAGCTGGACGCCATGTTGGAATAACAAGCTAGAAGCCATGTTGGAATAACCAGCTGGAAGCCACGTTGGAACAATCAGCTGGACGCCATGTTGGAATAACAAGCTGGAAGCCATGTTGGAATAACAAGCTGGAAGCCATGTTGGAATAACCAGCTGGAAGTCATGTTGGAATAATCCATCGGGACGCCATGTTACAACTACCAGCTGGACACCATGTTGGAACGATATGGTGGAAGAAACAGCTGGACGCCATGTTGGAAAGACCACGCCCCAGACTGTCCACTTGTGTTGTGTACCCCAACACAAACCCATCCTGTCATTACTGTTACTGCAAACATGGATGTGCGTAGTGCTGTCTTTACACTATATTTATTATAACTTTGTTTTCCAACAAGAGATAAACTTACAAGTGTTGTTTAACTGCATTACAAATGTGTATATTTGATAAAAAGCAGACTATTCCATAATGTTATTTTAAACAAATGTAAAATGTCAAAAGGGAAGCAGCCATTTCTAAAGCACTGTGTTGTTATACTCAGGTGTGGTTCAGACAGATTTGTACAATATATATTATAAGTTATTGTTAAAAAAATATTTGTTGTTTATTTTAAACATTGTACTGACATGAAATTCACAGGGGTCCACATTTCAAAACAAGCTAAAGATTTTATGATGTCAGTTGATATTTTGATGTTCAGAAATGTGTTCATATGAAATGTTTTCTAATTTTTCTATATTTCGTACGCACCTTATTCACTGAGATCAGGCGATGTTCGGGTTTGGCTAGTTACAAACAGGTCAGTGCATTCTTTCTGCTAAGTGTAAAATGTTTGTTGATAATGTCTTGCTCTGTATAAGCCATTAAAAGACAAAGATATGTGTTGTCCCTGCGTCTGACTGAAAAAGAATTTAGCTGTGTGTTTTTTCAATATATCATATGCCAAATATCAGCATTTTCCATATCCACAAGTATGTGCAGAAGCATGTTATACCCATTCATGGTTATACCTCATTTTTAAAGCTCCACTCTGAAAATACCACACTAAATGAGTCAACAATACTCAGCCTTCTTCCGTTCTGTTTGAATCCAGGCACAATTATATTCAGAACAAAACTACCAAACAATATGCAATACCATATTCTTTTTAAGTATTTTGTTTAAAGTACTTCAAATCTTTGATGGATCTTAATATTTTGAATGGAACGAAACCTGACGACCACAGCAAGAAGATTGTGGTTTGATAGAGTGTCTGGGTGGGTTCCCCCTTCCTCCAGAACTGGTTCACGACATCGTGGACATGGCCCTGGAAGCTGCACTGTGGTGATCAATGCTAAAGACAGACGCCTGAGCGACATTTGCAAGATGGAGATGGGTCAAATGCAGAGGACATGAAGTAAAGCTCATCCTTAACCTTTTTAAACATAACTTATGATTTTTCAGGGACGAGAGTGGCTCAGCTGGTAGAACATAGGCCTTTGAACCTGAAAGTCGTGTGTAACCCAGATATATTTGGATATTCTTAAAATATTTTTTAAAAAGTATAATGATATTGTTCATGTAATTTAAAATATCATTACATTTAAAATCATGTTTTTACCTGTGAAATAAAATGTTTTGTCAAGTCTCGCGAGGCTTGGGGCGAATGTAACACGTATGTAACACATACGTGTTACATACGTGTTACACGTGGGTTTGAAACACGGAACAGGGCCTTTCTGAGTGTGGTTTGCTTGTTCTCCCCGTGTCTGCGTAGGTTTCCTCCGGGTACTCCGGTTTCCCCTACCACTAAAAACAGGTACAATAGGTCTGGCATGCGCCTCCTGTACTGGCAACCCCGCTCCCATCTCTGTGTAGAGACAAATGCCCAAAAATAGCAATTGTAAACCGCTTTGTGACTGTTCTGTGAAAGGCGGTATATAAATAAAGAGTACTTAAAGTCGTGGGTTTGAGCTCACCACAAGACCTTCTCCACAGACTCCAAATGATGTCTCCTGTTGTGTCCTTGGGCAAGACACTTAACCCCACTATGCCTGAAGCCCCCACTGAAAGCTCAAGATCAAGACAGAGCAGCCGTCCTCCTGTGGACTCATCTGCAGGACCAGTGAGGGGCTGGTGCTCTGTGAACTGGGCGCAGCTGACTACCACCCCCTGACCCAGGAATGGATTAAGGCAAGCATGTCCAAACTGTGGCCCTCTGCTGCTAACACCAAGTCACCATTGAGGCACTTTGACAATGTCATCCAACCAACTTCTGCTCCACCAAGAGTCATGTTAGACCCTCTGGAATCCAGACGTTGACTCGAGTTATTTACTGACATTTGTTTTATGATTGTGTCACAACATTCAAAATAAAATGCAGCTAATCAATAAGGACGTATCATAACCCATTTGAAATTCCAGAATCCAGTCGATCCAGCGCAAATCCTGGTTTTTTGTAATCCATGTGCCAGGTCAAGTCTGATGAACTAAAGTGGCCCTCTTAATAAAAGGATTGGACACCCCTGGGAAGAAGATGGATGGATGAGTACTAGACCAAATAGTAACATTTTGGCGCTGTGTTTAATAAAGTGAGCTAATCCTGCTTTAAAGAAATATGTTAAACTAATCCCACATGTGGTTATATCAAGACACACTATAAAGATCAAGAAATAACAGGCATTAAAATAAGTTATTGAGGCAGAAATGGTATAATCTGTGTTTAGGGACGAGGATTTACATCTGTGGGTGTTCAGAGAGGAGGATTTTAGTTTCACAATGTAAGAAGTGAAAATAGACAGACTCAAAGAATTACAATTTTTTAATCATACATTCAGATATATACAAATCTAAAACATAAAAATTGCAGGAATGTGACAATGGCGATAAAAGTGCATTCATTAAAAAATAAAAACATGATTCTGATTGGTCACATTGTTGGACATGATCACACAAATCATATTAACTGTACATTACGTTTTTCATCCATAAATATTCAACATTCATTGTGTATAAAATTCCACAGTGGTCAACCCTAAGATTACACCAATTAACACTGTTTGAGAGGGTCTGAGTGACAGGTGGGCGGGAGGGAGGTAGGCAGGCTCTTAGGCTTGAGTGACAGGTGGGTGGGATCATGGGTCTGAGTGACAGGTGGGTGGGATCATGGGTCTGAGTGACAGGTGGGTGGGATCATGGGTCTGAGTGACAGGTGGGTGGGATCATGGGTCTGAGTGACAGGTGGGTGGGATCATGGGTCTGAGTGACAGGTGGGTGGGATCATGGGTCTGAGTGACAGGTGGGTGGGATCATGGGTCTGAGTGACAGGTGGGTGGGATCATGGGTCTGAGTGACAGGTGGGCAGGATCATGGGTCTATGTCAGACATGGGCAAACTTTTCCTCCTGAGGGCCACATTGGAATTTAGGTCCGGATCCCGACAGCCGTCTGATATTCGAATGTTTTTCTCAAGATTCATTTTGAAACATAAATTGATGGTTTATATGAAAAATAGCTCTGCACACAGTACAGAGGGGGATTGTATGATGTTTAAACTGAAATTACCCCATTGTGGGATGAATAAATGTTCTGAATCCTAATCTCTCTTGACCTTAATCTTAATCTATATAAATTGAGGAGGGCTCAGGGGCCTGATAGAAGCAGTGGTGGGTTTGCCCACCACTGGTCTATGTGATGAGTGGGCGGGATCATAGGTTTGAGTGAAAGGTGGGCAGGATCATGGGTCTATGCGACAGGTGGGTGGGATTATGGGTCTATGTGACAGGTGGGCGGGATCATGGGTTTGAGTGACAGGTGGGCGGGATCATGGGTCTGAGTGACAGGCTGGTGGGCGGGCTCAGAGGTTGCTGAACACCTCCTTCCTCTGGTTCCAGTCCATGCGTGGGGCGTTCTTGGAAGCCCTCTTGGCTCGCTCTCGAGCCTGGGCCACAGACAGACCTAGACCAAGGATGTCACTCCCAGGCTCCTCCTACAGGACAAAGCGAGACATGTCAAGTGGGTCAAAATATAACTCAAAAAAGGTTAAAAAAAAGAAAGAAAAACAAACATTCTTTAATATTCTGCTCGCTTTTTATCCTTTTATTCTGATGTATGCCCTAATATGACATTGGAATTTTCCCACTGAGGGACGAATAAAGGTTTATCAAATCTTTTTAATCTTTCTCTTTTGACATGATAATCCATCCCACCTCAATGAATGGCCAATCCACATTCATATATTTGTTACTGTGGCCGCCTTAGAGGAGATGAGCAATATTCAGAAAATGGGTGTTTAAAAAAACAGCCACAAATTGTGACAGCTTTGATGTAAGATTTTCATGTCAAGTAAGCATTAAATGGCCCTAATCTGTCAAAAGGCTCTTTTCAAATTCTTCAGCCGGGATATTCAAATTTCATTTTACAGCCTAAATCTTGTTATTGTTTTCATTTCGATGTCCCGCCCTCCACCATTATACCAATCAGAAAGTCTGTGAGCCGGGTTGCCAGAACTAACCTCGTCGAGCTAATCTCACTGGTAAAGTACCATGTGACCGCAGAACTAAAAAGGTCTTGTTATGATTCTCAAATCATTAACGACAAAACAAGGAATAAAACCAGGATTTCTATCTTTGTGAAAAAGGTTTTGGTTATAGATGTGTCTATTCAGTTATTATGGTCCCAGCTGGATTCATCTGGTTATCTGGCAACCTGAGTCAGGGAGAGTGGGAGAGGACTACAGAATATTGACCGTGATTGCCGTACCAATTTTGGCCAGATTTTTACATATTGCTCCTTTAAGTTGAGCTCATGAAAAGGGAAAACAAAAGGGTTGCCTATTTTAAGTGAGTATATAGTGACACACATGAAGACAAAGCTAAGCTAACCATATCCTAAACGACATAAGCTCACCGTTGCCATGGCGCTGGGAGTGGGCTGGGATGTGTGTGAGGAGGCACTGCTCTCTGAGCTCACGGAGGTCCTGGCTTTAGCCTCCTCTGCTGCCTCCTGCTGGACCAAACGAGAACAGATAAGTTTTATCACATTACTTATTCATAAACTCATTCTGAAGTTGTGTTTTAAAAAGGCAGTAAACCGCTCTGAACATGACATTGTAGTAATGAAGACTGATCATTCAAGGGTTCAGTTTACATCAGAAAGAACATATTTCACATCAAGTTAGTCACAGTGAACTTCCCCTCACTCCTTCTGTTTGTCATGACAGTTTTTCAGGTCTCATGTTATGTATTTTCCAATATCACCAGTAGATTTATTGATCGTGATATTTTCTTGATCCATTATACATGTTTAGCCATACATTTTCCACTTTAAAACATGCAACGTCAAAATAAACAGTGTAATAATATTTCATTTGTTGTAAAAAAAGTATATAAACAGCTATGTTTTTCCTGAAAGTGTGAGACAGGCCTCTTCTCTGGCCATGTTTAAATGCAGGTTAAAAACAGTTCTGTTTAGCTGTGCATACAACTGAGGGATTTTAAATATAAAATTTAATTAATTATTTATGATTTTAATACCATCTTGATTTGTTCAGCACTTTGTATAGCACATCTCATACACAAGGCAACTCAAATAAACTTGCCTTTGCCTTTTCATTTCTCAGAGCCAGAATTTGACCTTGCAACACAGAGCTGGAAGTGTGTTAAGTAAGTTACCACGGAAACGCAATCTTTAGTCCTTTATATAGTGTTTGTTTGTGTACTCAGGCCTCATTTGGTTGTGTTTCAGCCTCAGCAGAGCTAAAGATAAGCCCGGTACACTATTAAAAACCCAAATCACTCGTTCATTTGTTCTTTGACTCTAATTTTAGCCGATTGCGTCTCCAGAATGCACACATCATTCTTATGTAACTCCCTGAAAGAGCCATTGTTGTTGGCGGCTAGCTTGCCAACTGCAGCGTGCTTCGTTAGCGCCACATTAGCGTAATCCACTGGCGCGCTGAAGCCAAAGCCACTTGTTCCAATCCCATGATCCTCTGGGGCATAGGGCAGTGGGGGAAGAGAGACGCGCTGCCCGTCGTCATAGTGACAGATCAGGAGCAGTGTCAGCTGTGAGGACCATCCCACCGTGTTCCCACAGAGTTAGCTTGGCTGTGGAGTGCTACAACTTTGTATTATTATTATTATTACTATTACTATTATCTATCACATTATTTAGCATTTAATTTTTTTTTGGATCTCAACACTAGGACTTCCACAATTATTAAACTACTAGAACTCCCCAAAATTGTTTTTCGTTTTTTTCACCAGATTTTTTAAAGTAATAAATATAGATAGATCAGGGGTCTCCAACCTGTGGCTCAGGAGCTACCAGTAGCTCGCCAGCCCCTTTCAGGTAGCTCCCCAAAGGATTTTAGAATCTATCACATGATCTTAAATGATTCACTTTTGAATCATCACATGTCTATTATAACTATAAATATACTGTAGGGTTATAGAGTATTATGTATTTTTACATCCGTATTCCATGTTTTGTCATAATTATTACATAGATTTTTATTATGACTGCAAAAAGGAGTAGCTCTCTGCCTCTTCTGTTGTCTAAAAATAATTCTCAAAAAGGTTGAACACCCCCTGATATAGAAATATTTATATATTTGTTTAACCTTTGATCACTTTGAGTAAACTGCTGACGGTAAACTGTGTGTTGCTTTAGTGTTCAGCATTCATGGTTTAAAGATAAAACAATTCACGTTTCAAAAATAAAAAGCTAATTTCTTAGAGATAATGACACAAACTACGGAGATACAGAAACAGTTATGAAGATCAAAAAAGGAACATCCACGCAGTAATGACACGTGTAAAACTGACATCTCACTGCTCTGGGAGTTTAACATGTAGATAATAAATTACTATATTTTTTGAAGATTTTGAAGTGAATATTTCAATGTGACCATTTGAATTTGTGCATGTTGACTTCTGTAGATATGGAAAAAGATTTGTACATGTGACCTGTTATCTCAGAACGTTATCTCAGAGACGTCATTTAAACTTCACAGTTTGAGAAGCACAGATGTTATTCATTAGCTGCTCCGTCACTCCTCCTGTCAGACTCACACCCTCTCCCCATCCTCCCCTGAACCTCCCCCAGCCCAGTCTGTACCAGGCGTGTGAGGGAGAGTTTCTATGGAAAGATAAGTATACATGCAGGCCAGAGTCACGCCACTCTTGTCTCAGTATACATACAGACTCCGACCTCTCTGTCTCAGTATACATACAGACTCAGACCTCTCTGTCTCAGTATACATACAGACTCAGACCTCTCTGTCTCAGTATACATGCAGACTCCGACCTCTCTGTCTCAGTATACATACAGACTCAGACCTCTCTGTCTCAGTATACATACAGACTCAGACCTCTGTCTCAGTATACATACAGACTCAGACCTCTCTGTCTCAGTATACATGCAGACTCAGACCTCTCTGTCTCAGTATACATACAGACCAAAAGTTTGGACACACTTTCTCATTCAATGAGTGTCCTTTCTTTTCATGACTATTCACTGTAGATTCACATCCAGACTGTGTAAGGGTTATTTGACCAATAAGGAGAGTGGAAGGGTGCTGGGCCAGATGACCCGGCCTCCAGTCACCGGACCTGAACCCAATCCAGTTGGTTTTGGACCTGAACCCAATCCAGATGGTTTTGGGGCTGGACCACAGAGTGAAGGCGAAAGGGCCAACAAGTGCTAAGCATCATGGGAACTCAAGACCATTTCAGGTCAATAACTCTTGAAGCTCATCAAGAGAATGCCAAGAGTGTGCAAAGCAGTAATCAGAGCAAAAGGTGCTGCTTTGAAGAATCTAGAATATAAGACATATTTTCAGTTGTTTCATACTTTTTTTTTAAAGTATATACATAATTCCACATGAGTGAATTCATAGTTTTGATGCAGTCAGTGTGAATCTACAATTTTCATTATCATGAAAATAAAAAACTCTTTGAATTAGAAGGTGTGTCCAAACTTTTGGTCTGTACTGTACATGCAGACTCAGACCTCTGTCTCAGTATACATACAGACTCAGACCTCTCCTGTCACTTGTGTATGTACCTGCTCCTCCACTGATGCCCGGTCCACCCGCGGTTCTGGGAGGGGTCCTGAACAGAAAACAGAATGCTACTCATTAGATAGTTAAATACATAATAATCAAATTATGCTATTTATAACTGTACATCTTTAATTAGACCAGGGGTGGGACAGTTTTAGGTGTCGTCTTGAGAAGAGCCACAGAATGTTCGTACTACCAAACTTAACCCATTTTGGATTTCTATTAGGTAAAGTAGATGAAGATAAACTTGATTCACTTTGATCTCACAATGGAGACATGTACATGTTAGTTTAGTTAGTTAATTTTTTTCTTCGGTCAATATGTACACCCGACCTCGGGTCACACGGATACAGAGCTCACATTTACTTTTTACAACAAGAAAATAAAAATAAAATAAAAAAAAGAACCAAAATGTGTCCATAAAGGACCTTGTGCGAAACAATACCTGACCGAAAGGGTTTAGGCTGAAGTCGAAACTTATACTGCCTAACCCCTAATACAATGTGAAAATACGTCCAAAGATGACAAATTATACAGTTTCTCATATACTAACGACGGCAACATGAAGCACCAAAAACTTGCACTTGAACGAATCAAAATTATGTTATACATGATCAAAATTGTAAATGACACAACATACAGTTTCTCATATACCAACGATGGTAACATGAAGTACAAAACATGAACTCCCATAAACACGAGTTATTAAGCATAGTCCAATTCAATTGTCCTATACTTCTCCATAATATTTGACTCATACTTTTTTTTGAATGTTTTAATAGTTCTTGAGCCCTTAAGTTGAACAGATAGACTGTTCCATAGATCAACTCCTTTGACTGATACACATCTCCTCTTAGTACTCTTTGCTCTGGGTTTCTGAAGCAGATCAGTTCCTCTGAGGCTGTAGCTACATTCTCTAGTATGAAACATCTTTTGTAAACAGTGAGGAAGCATGAAGTTGTGAGCCTTGTATAACACAGCTGCAGTATAAACATCAACAAGATCATACAATTTTAGAATATTATGTCTAATAAATAGTGGATATGTTGGGGCAAGGTATTCGGCATGACTGATCACTCTAATGGCTTTCTTTTGTAAGATAAAGATAGGTTTTATATTAGTTTTGTAGGTATTCCCCCATAGTTCCACACAGTAGCTGAGGTATGGAAGGATGAGGGAATTGTACAGTATATATAAAGCATTTTGATTTACAGAAGTTTTAATTTTACACAGTATAGCAATGAGTTTAGAAATTTTAGTCCTTAGAGTGTTTATATGCACTTTCCAGTTTAACTTATGATCAATATTGATTCCTAAAAACTTTGTTTCATACACCCTTTCAATGTCTACCTCCCCAATACTGATTTTACATGGGGTCTTTATTATTTCCCTTTTTCCAAAGATAATATATTTAGTTTTATGCAGATTTATGGAAAGTTTGTTTACATCAAACCATGTTTTTAATATCTTGAGTTCACTTCCTACTGTATTTAGAAGCAGCCCAAGATCTTTTCCAGAACAATACAGACTAGTATCATCAGCAAATAAGATGCATCGTGATTTATTAAGAACTTCACAGATTATTTATGTACAAAATAAATAATTTGGGTCCTAATACGGAGCCTTGAGGAACACCGTGGGTTATTTTTGCTTCCATTGAGCTGATATTATTGATTTTGACATACTGACTTCTATCACTTAAATAACTTTTTAGCCAAGTGTGCGCTAAGCCCCGAACCCCATACCTTTCCAATTTATTTAAAAGCAATGAATGATCTATTGTGTCAAAAGCCTTGCTTAGGTCTATGAAGACTCCAACAGCATACTCACTGTTCTCAAAAAATGTAGCTATGTTTTCCACTAGTTCCATGACAGCCATTGAGTGGACCTATTGGATCTGAAACCGTACTGATTGGATCTGAAACCGTACTGATGCTCACTCAACAAGTTATGCTTGTCTACAAAACAATCAAGTCGTTTGACATGTCACATTTGACATAGAAAGAATCAGGTTGTGCAAAGACATGAAATGTGCAGATTGCAAAAATGTTAAAAAGGGTCAAATAGTCTCTTAGATATATTATGAACAAAAAAATACTGACAATATTATATGATAAATCATTACTTTCCTCATCCTGAACAATGAAAATGTTTGATTAGATGTTGTTTTGCGTTAAAATAAGTGATTTAAGGGATCACTACTTTAAAATAAACTACTGTTCATAAAGGCATTAAAGCAAGAACATTATCCATAAATGGCAGTGCAGTAAATAATACACTTTCGAATATAATTGTATTTTTGAACTTTCTATTTCTTCATAAAGCGTCAGGGACATCACACTATTTCACACTGATGGCACCATCCTAGGCTGCAGTATTAAATGCTGGACACACTGCATCCGTGTGTGATCCGCTACGGCTGGGTCTGTCCTCCGCAAAACGTTGGCCTCAAATGATAACAGCGGGATGTCCTTTTCCACTTCTACCACCAGATGGGAGGGGTGCTCAGCACAACCATCGCTTCATTCATTATACATAGTCTACATTATACATATTCTCAGCTTTGTGGTCTACAAAATGTGGCCGTCAAGAATGTCAAAACAGGATATCTGGAATCTCAATTCAGTTCACAACTTTGGCCAGTGTTCTTCTAATCTATATCGGATCTGTCTGGGATTAGACTCTGCTCAGACGCTGGCTTCGCCACCCAGACACGAGGAGTGGAACACAGTTTCTCCGTTGTACTCTTCAGGGATGAGGGCTTCTCTGGATGTTATTTAACCGCTTTGTTATTTTAAATGTGATTCATTCGTTTTTGCACAATCACAAGTTCATTCAACACTTCTGCCTCAGTATTGGAGCCTTAACTACGTGATGTTGTCCCGACTCAACTACAATTCTATCAAGATCATTGAGGTGAGAGGGATATGAAAAGGACATTCTCCCACATCTCCTCACCCGTTCCTCTCGCTCATCTTTCATGTCTCCTCTCCTTTCCTATGCCCCCTCTCCTCTTTTCTCCAATCCCAGGTCTCCTCTCCTCTGTCGTGTGTCCTCTCCCATCTCCTCCTCTCCCCTTCCATCTCCTCCTCTCCCCCTTCCCCCTTCTCTCCTCGTGGTAAGATGCGACTTACCAGTCAGGTGCTCCTCGGAGGGCAGCACCCCACACTGGCTGAAGAAGAGCTCGGTCTCGGGGTCCACCACCAGCATGCTGACCTCATCTCCGGACGCTTTGATGGCGCTGACCACGTCCGAGTGCTGCTTCCCCACCATGGACATGCCGTTTACCTGAGGACACGAGACGATGAGAGGGACAACTACATAAACACAGCAGTTACAAACTCATAAACGTCCATCAGAAGTTGTATTGGTGCAAACAGAATAACATGTATTAGTAAACATGTAACATTTTTGCACTTAATGAAGCAGAAGTGAAAGCTGTGCAAAGTAATGGACAGAACCCCGAACCCCCACGGCTCTCCACGGCCCCCAGCGTTCCCAGCCTCCCTCAGGATTCCCAGCATTCCTCTGGGAGCTGTGGGAGTCAAACATGAGACCTGCACTGATGTAGTGCTATGGCATGTGCTAGAGCTGCGAGATTGACCACACACAAGTAGCAAAGAGGACATTACAAGTATGTTGGTCATTCCTCATAAACGTTTCAATCATTTAGGACAGGGGTTAAAGCAAAAAAAAAAGATTTGACTGAACATTTTCGCATGGAAATTTATCACATGTAAATCACAGTAATATGCAGGACCAAGTTATATTTGTAATTACAATATATTATTGTATAATAGATTGTATATTGAATACAGCTCAAATGAATTCTTCAAAGATATACAGTGTATTTTGATATGAAGTATAAGTGGATCAAGCAACGAGTAAACTTTTTGACAGAATATTAGTGAGAGTAGCTTTACTTGAGGCGATATGGAGCGTCAACACTTTGGCTCTGTCCTCGTCAAAATATTGCAAAAGGACGATAAAATTCTGTCCACATTTGTTTGTGGACACGTCAATATTTAAGAAAAAGGTTTCCCTATCAAGTTTGAGTGCACAGTGCACTTCGATCAACTGCAAATGATTTAAATAAATCTACCAGCGGTAGTGATATTCTGAACGTTATTTTCTGCGATAAAGCCACAGACACGGTCCGCCAGAGCAAGATAGTGTCAGTTGTTGCTGATGCACCAGGTAAAGATGAAGTGTGGGAAAGTGCACAAACAGCTGCCTTGTGCGCAGTTTTGAGCTGGTGGCGAATCAAAACTTTTTTTCTCATTACTCCCATACATGCAATTTTTTATGGCAAAGTACGCACAAGCACCGGCCACTTTCATCTTTTCGCACCATGACTCATTGATTGGCTCTTTTACATCACGCTGAGTTTTGCAAGAAGATCGCAAACAAGACAATATCAAAAGCTCACCAAGACATGTTTGTCCCCATTCCCAGTCGCAGCAAAGTCCGTTTTGTACATTCCGTTAGGTAAAATAGCATTGCGTTTGGTAAACGTTAATTACCTTTCCTCTATTACGCGCCCAGCTTACCAGTCCGCGGATCTGCTGCTGTTATTGCTCCGTTCGAGTTTTAATTTTCCTCCTCTTCTTTTCAAAAGCTCCGTGCAGTTTCCAGAAACTTGCACCTCCGTGTTACCAATGCTAACTTCATCGCGTCTTCATTTGTGCGTGAGCTCAGCTACGTCCCATTGCCTTGATTCATTTGCGGAGCGCTCATGTGGCCACGGCACGTTCAAGGCCCACTCGTGAATATATTACTTATTATTTCTATATACATATAAATACAATTATATTCAAATTATTATTATACATCGATATATATATATATATATATATATAACAGATTCACACGTATATGTATTACTATATATTATTTTTATAATCAATCATTTCATTGTGTGTATTATTATCATTATATATATATATTTTTTTTCCAGACCAATTTCATTTGACAGAAATCCGTCACCTAGACGGAACTCTTTAATCCCTGATTTAGGACATCATCATTAACACATTTAAAAGTTTAAATTAGTGTTTACTAAATTAAACAGTTAACCATTTGCTTTTCGGTGTTACAGGGTTGTATTTGTGCAGTAGGTGATCTAATCAAGAACTAGTCGAGACCAGTTGCCATGTCAAAAAGACATGCCCGGACTCGTGGGTCATTCACGTTTATATTTCTTTGCGTTACAATTGTTTGATGACGTTAAATCAATAATCATATGAAGTCCGAGATGATTGCTGTTGTAATGTTAGGCAACACAAAAAATAAATAAATTGATTGTTAGTTTATAAGAGCAGACTGACTGTGTGTGCGTGTGTGTGTGTCTACAAATGTGTGCGTGCAATACTTTACTAACATAAAAGTACTATTACACTATAAAGCTGGGGTGTCCAAACCGGTCCCAAAAAGGCAGCTGTGGCTACAGGTTTTATCAGACCAAGCAGGAGCAGGGCAGATCCACCCAAAACCTGAAGATTTGAGGAAATGCAGTAAGTGGATCTGGTCTGAAATAAAACTTGCAGCAACAGTGGCTCTTAAGGACAGGCTCGGACCCCCCTGCTGTAGATTAAATGTCTTGTATTAGTTCTAGTTCTCTGGGAAAGTCACCTGGATGATCTTGTCGTTGGGCCTGAGTCCGGCTCTCTCTGCAGCAGAGTGCTCGTCCACAGCCCGGATGAACTGTCCCGGTCTGGACTTCTCACTGTGCAGGTTGAAGCCGTACCCCCCTGGTCCCTTCTTCAGGACACACAATCGAGGCCTGGGACCACTGCTCTCCTCCTGCCACAAGAAATGTCACATATGAGGCATCGGGCCTGCTGCCGCTTTAAGTCAGAAACACATGATTGACTAGTTGAATACATTTTACTTTTGTTGCTGTAGAAATTGAAAGAATGTGTCTGTTCTCTAAGCTCTGCTATCTACTGGCGGCAGTGACAAATAAATTCCCCAATTCTAGCTAAAGGAACCTTTGTAAATAGACACTTTATTGATCCCGTAGGAGACATTCAGGTGTCCAGCAGCAGAAAACACATCCATATAAACACATAAGCACATAGTTATAAATAGCTATAAATGTTTATAGTCTAACAATAGCGCATATTTTTATCTCATGCAGGTTTGCTGTACATTCTGACAACTAAAGGAAACAAAGGATCTCTTGAAACGTTCCGTTCGGCAGCGCAGTGATAAAAGCCTGTTGCTACGGTTACTCCTCTGGAGCGGCCATAGTGTCATGCAGAGGGCGTCATGCAGAGGGCGTCATGCAGAGGGTGTCTGGAGTTACCCAGAATTCCCTGAATTAGAGCCCTCATCCTTCTCCCCATCACAGCTTTCACAGAGTCCACACTTCTCCCCATCAGACACATTTCCTGATCAGCCTGTCGAGCCGGTCACCGTCTCTAAATTTAGTCTTTAATGTAAACACACATTGTTTACACCTTGAGTTGTTTAGAACTCAACACCTCCACGGCTCCGAAAGAGCTCAACGCCTCCATCCCCAGCATCATCAGCAGCTGCCACATCTTCATCAGCGCCATCAGCATATACAGCACCACCAGCAGCAGTGGATACAGCAGCAGCAGTGGCTGCTCCATCATCTTCAGCAGCAGCAGTGGCTGCTCCATCATCTTCAGCAGCAGCAGTGGCTGCTCCATCATCTTCAGCAGCACCTTCCCCACCTACAGCTCCCGTGAAGCTTCCCCCATTACTCCAGGCTACAGTCAGGCCTGTACTGGGGGTTCCTCAACCACCTCTGTCTCCACCAAAGACTCCCTCATCACCTTCCATGGACCCGGCTTGGGTCCCCCCCGCTACATCCACTCCATCTAGGGAAAATGAGGACGACCTTTCCCTTTGTTTTCTATCCCCGCCTTCACTACTGGATTTACCGGAACACTCGGCAGGCATGATAAGAAAGGCGATGAAGACTATTCCTCTCACACCCACTGTGGCCAGATCAAGAGTCCTATCTAACATTCAAAACTACTCCCCATACGTACCTCCAAAGCCACCTAGGGCGTCCAACTCAAATTCTCCCACAAAATCCACCCGTCCCTCCTCTAACCCCATAAGTATTCCACCCCCCCTCCTGCTCATTTAGCCCACCTCCCCCCTAACTCAGCACCAAGAAACCCTCCACCTCCACTCCCCCCTCGTCCACCACCCAACTCAGCCTGCCCCTCCCCTAACCCATCACCAAAAACCCATCCACCTTCAACCCCTCCCCGTCCAACTCCCAAGAACCACCCGCCTCTCCATCCTCTTCCCCCGCCTTCCCCTTCCCCTCTTTTCTCTAAACACTAGGATGCACAGGGTCTCTGCTTCGCAGCCACTGGCAGTCTAGTTAGAGGAGAGACCCGGCTGGGGCCCTGTCATGAAGCCACCTGTGCCATTCCCTTAGTGATAACACAAAGAATACATAACAGAAAAACATCTGAAGTTAATCAGTCTAATCAGGAAAATCTAATTCTTGTTCCGTGTAAGAATCAGCCGACCACAACCGCTGATCCTGAAACTTTTAAACTTGCTATGCTAAATGTCAGATCTCTTTGTAACAAGTCTTTTTTAATCAATCATTTTATTTGTTCTTCTTCTTGATCTTATGTTCATGGCTGAAACATGGCTTGACCAAAATACAGAAAATGCAGTTTTAATAGAAGCATCACCACCAAATTTCAAATTTGAATCTGAAATACGGGAAAACAAAAAAGGAGGAGGCTTAGCTGCTTTCAGAGACCACTTTGTCTCCCATAGAATGTCTCTTGGGAAGTTTCCGTCTTTTGAATATGTGTCTTTTAAAATACAACAAAAACAATCTCCTCCAATACTTTTCATTGTCCTATACAAGCCACCGCAGTCATGTCACAGATTTATTGATAATTTTACAGAGTTGCTTTCAGTTGTATGCACAGATTTTGATAGTTTAGTTATTACAGGTGATTTTAATATTCATGTGGATAATGTTGATGACAGAAATGCTAAAGAGCTGAGTTCTCTTCTTGAATCTTTTGGTCTCAATCAGCATGTGAGTGGCCCCACCCACAGCAGAGGGCACACTCTAGACCTGTTAGTTACAAAGGGGGCGAACATTTATAATGTAAACGCGGTTGATGTTGCGCTTTTGGATCATTTTTGTATATTTTTTGACATATGTTTCACTAACAAACCACCAGTGGACTCTGCAACTGTACGAAGAAGACACATAAATGCAAATACGGGTGAACTATTTATGGGAATGATAAACTTTGAGAATGCATCGTATTCTACTGTAGATGAACTGTTTAACTCTGTCACCTCTAGTGTTTTGAAAGTTCTGGACACCATCGCTCCTGTGAAGGTTAAAATTGTGGAAAATAAGCAGAAGGCGCCGTGGGCTAAAGCAGACTCGTCAGGGCACAAAAGAGAGAGTGCCGGAGGGCCGAGCGGAAGTGGCGCAAGTCCAACCTCCAGGTTGATTACAAGATCTTCAAAGATAAGTTGTGCGAGTTTAACCAGGTGCTACGTAGTACGAGAGAAAGGTATTTTTCTGAAATGATTGAAGGCTGCAGCAACAATCTGCGTGTTCTGTTTTCAACAGTTAATAGATTAACAAACCCCCCTGTTCAAATGCCATTAGAGCTAACTTCCGAACGTAAATGTAATGAGTTTGCACATTTTTTCAATGACAAGGTTCAAGGCATCAAAAACGCCATTGTCTCCAATCCACAGATAACAATCCAACAGCCAGAAAGGCTCTTTGAGCTAACTTACTTTTCACCTGTAAATGATCAAACTGTCCAAGAGATAATCTCCAGTTTGAGCTCCTCCACATGCAGCCCAGATGTACTACCCACTATATTTCTAAAGTCTGTTCTGAGCAGTCTGTTACCTTCACTCACACAGATAGTAAACATGTCCCTTGATTCTGGAATATTCCCAAAGGCCCTGAAAACTGCAGTCATCAGGCCCCTGCTAAAAAAAAGAGCAGTCTGGATGCTACGGTACTTAATAACTATCGTCCCATCTCAAATCTGCCATTTATGGGGAAAGTCCTTGAAAAAGTTGTCTACCTACAGCTTACTAGATTTCTTATAATCAACAACTCATTTGATATGTTTCAGTCCGGCTTTAGACCCCACCACAGCACTGAGACTGCTCTCGTCAAGGTTACAAATGATATCCGGCTGAACACTGACGCAGGCAAAGTCTCAATCCTAATCCTGTTAGATCTAAGTGCTGCCTTTGACACTGTCGACCATGAGATCCTCTTACACTAGAGGACTGGGTTGGCGTCGCTGGCACCGCCCTAAGTTGGTTTAGGTCTTACCTTGAAGACAGGAAGTACTTTGTGGAGATTGGAAACTGTGTCTCAGATCATATGGCCCTGACCTGTGGAGTCCCACAGGGGTCGATCCTGGGACCTCTTCTGTTCAATCTCTACATGCTGCCATTAGGTCAGTTAATACGCAGAAACAAAGTGTCCTATCATAACTATGCAGACGACACTCAGATCTATGTCTCGCTGACTGCAGGAGAACATGGACCAGTGGACTCACTCCTTCACTGTATCCAACAGATCAGTGAGTGGATGCAAAACAACTTCCTTCAGCTAAACGCAGACAAAACTGAAATGATTGTCTTTGGTCCCCAGAAACAAAGAGAGAGCATCATCTGTCATCTACAGTCTCTCTCCCTAAAACCTTCAAACAAGGTCAGAAATCTAGGGGTAATACTGGACTCAGACTTAAATTTTAATAGCCACATCAAATCAGTAACATCAGCAGCTTTTTACCATCTAAAAAACATTGCCAGGATCAAAAACATAGTGTCTAAAGCAGACCTGGAGATTCTTATCCATGCATTTGTCTCCAGTAGGTTAGACTACTGCAATGGCCTGCTCACAGGTCTGTCCAAACAGGCTGTAAAACAGCTGCAGTACATTTCAAAATGCAGCAGCTCGAGTCCTGACTAGAACCAGGAAGTACAACCACATTAGTACAGTCCTCAGGTCCCTGCACTGGCTTCCTGTGGCTCAGAGAATAGACTTTAAAACAGCTCTGCTTGTGTACAAGTCTCTCCATGGCCTCGCACCAAAATATATTAGTGACATGTTAGTACCATATGAACCAGCCCGGACTCTGAGGAGCACAAGGACTGGACTCCTGTTAGTGCCCAGAGTCAGAACTAAACATGGGGAGGCTGCTTTTCAGATTCATGCTGCTAAAATCTGGAACAATCTTCCTGAAGATGTGAGACAGGCCTCCTCTCTGACAATGTTTAAAACCAGGTTAAAAACGGTGCTGTTTAGCTGTGCATACAACTGAGGGATTTTATATTTTTATCTTTCGTTTTAATGTTCTGTGATTATTTATGATTTTAATGCTATCTTGTTCAGCACTTTGAGTTGCCTTGTGTATGAATTGTGCTATACAAATAAACTTGCCTTGCCTTGCCTTTTGGATCCTAAAGCAGCTCAGTAAGAATGAGACTAACTACATTTGACCAAAAAAGCTCCAGTGATGCCCCTGGAGAACTTCTTCATGAAGTCATAGAATACAGAGTCGGCGTGTTTAATGGAAGGTTCAAAAAACAACTTTACCAATATTCGATTCAATACTTGTGATTACTCAAACTCATTAAAGCCCTGGTACAGAGTCTTCTCATCAATCCAAATGATGGCAGTCTATAAAAAGAGCTCAATTCCATTTTTATACTCTACTTTCCACGTCGTCTTTGCATAGAGATTCTCTGATCTGTTGTTGGCGAACCAAGAAGTTTGCTAAGTCCTTCCGAGACGACAG